CTCCCATCTTTTCTTCCCTTCCCTCCCTTCCCTCTCTTCCTCCCTCCTTTCTCTCCCTCCCTCCCTCCCCCTCTCTTTCTTTCTTTTCTTTCTCTCTGTCTTTCTTTTCTTTCTCTCTTTTTTCCCTTTCCTTTCCTTTTCTTTTTTCTTTCTGTGCTGGTACTGGGGCTTGAAGTCAAGGTTTGGGTGCTGTTCCTGAGCTCCTTTTACTGAAGGATAGCACTCTCCCACTTGAGGCCTAGCTTTTTTGTCAGTTACTTGGAGATGAGAGTCTCATGGACTTTCCTGCCAGGGCTGACTTCATACTGGTGATCCTCAGATCTCAGTCCCCTGAGTAACTAGGATTACAGACCTGAGCCACCAGCACCCATTTGTAGTACCCATCTTTTTGAGCTCCAGTTACTGTATTGTCTGCTTTTATATTTCCTTGTGTTGTTTCATCAGTTTTCAAAGTCAAGTTTATACTCTCAGTTCCTGTGTGTGTGCAGTTTTTTTTTTTTTTTAACTTTCCAATGGCTTGAAAGTAATGGGTCTTCTTCTGGGCTAGTTATATGCTATATGGTGCTGTTTTGCAGTACTCAGCAGCAGCTGTAACCCATTGCAGTTAGTTATGCAAGCACCACAGAGAACAACTAATAAGTTATAGTATAATATGTTGGTGAGCTATGATGTTGGATAGATTAGATGTGTTAAATGCATTATTCTTTAACATTTTTACCTTACAGTGGGTTCATTGGGATACAGTTGTTTTAAAGAGCATTTGTAGTTTTATTTTCACCCTTTGCTATTCTTAAGTCTCTGTTTATATCTAGGAATATTCTATATAGTATACTCTATATACTGTGTTTATATGCTTTGAGAAGATGAATGAGAAATGCAACTAAAGTATTCATGACATTTTTCAGTAGACTTTTTTTACATTTTTTTTTCTTTCGCCAGTCCTGGGGCTTGAACTCAGGGTCTGGCCATTGTCCCTGAATTTCTTTTGCTCAAGGCTAGCATTCTACCACTTGAGCCACAGTCCCTCTTCTGACTTTTTCAGTTTATATGGTACTGAGGAATAGAACCCAGGGCTTCTTGCATGCAAGGCAAGCACTCTACCACTAAGCCACATTCCCAGCCTAGCAGTAGACTGCTTTTTTTTTTTTTAATTTATCTCATTAGCTTATCCTTTTCAAACTGCACTAAAAGAAAGTTGGCATCTGTAGACCAGTAGATTTGTCCTTTTCTCATATTTTCTTTAGCAAAGTAGTTAGATTGATGTTGAAAGGATCATTTTATAAGGTAGGCTATGATTAAACCTACAAAGCTTGTAAGCTTTACTCTGAAGTATAGCTTGTACCTTACATACCAACCTAAGACCTGTTGTGTCTTGTTTAATTTTAATTATAATACAGGATTTAAAAGCATTACAATGGCTGCATTTAATTTTCCCCTTTCTTCAAAGTAAATTAAAGCTGCATTATGTTTAAGTATTTGAAATTTTAAAATACAGTTTAAAGTAACTTGTTCATGGCATTTCTATATTTAAGTTGCCTTGTGAAGACAAACCAATTATGTAAGGTATTCAAAATTCTTCTACTTATTGTAGCACTGTTTTCAGTTTTCTTTCACAAAACTGTTACTGAAATAATAGCTAGTAAGAAATTATATATTCATTGATTTTCTACAGTAGATTCTGGCAAAAATGTCCTTATGTGTCATAAATGGTTATGTTTATCTCAACTGGCTAAGGTATATACAGGTTAAAGAAGTCAGATTTCACAGACCTTTTAAGATGAAATGTGCAAATCAAAGGCAACTCAAGAACCATTCTATTAGGAGTTACAATCCATGGATAGAGAGGGTTGTGTGAGCTTTATGTGTGTCATTAAAAATGCCTTTGCAATCTCATTTGGCTGACTCCATACTTGTTGATTTAAAGCTGTATAACCCGTTTGGCTCCTTTTTTCTAATGATGCTACTTAGGCTACAAAGTGAGTATTGTTTTTTGTGTGACGCCTTTGTAAGAGGAAGCCAGTTCTGTGTTCATTACTGTAGTTCACACTGATGAAGTATGATCTAGGCCATGATAGTTTAACCCTACAGGTTCTTAACAAGTTTAACATCCCCATGTTACCTCTAATACATGTTATTTCCTTTTCACATCTTGCAAGCAGGAAGGAACTAACTTCAGGCACTGGACTTTGCTTATAGAAATAATGATTGTAATTTCTTACTGCATTTTCTTTTGTTGCCTTTACTGCTAAAGCTTTTCTTTTTTATATTTCAGAAGCAGAAGTGTCAGAGCATTCCACAGGTATAACCCATCTTCCTCCTGAGGTAATGCTGTCAATTTTCAGTTACCTCAACCCTCAAGAATTATGTCGATGTAGTCAAGTCAGCACTAAATGGTCTCAGCTGGCAAAAACTGGATCACTGTGGAAACATCTTTATCCTGTTCATTGGGCCAGAGGTAGGTACAAGTGACTTTGATTTATTAAAAAATACTTTAAAACTGCTTTTTTAGGTGAATATTCACAGCCATTTATAAGTAAGGCTTGGGAAGGAAACAGAACTTGACCAAAAAGTAGATTTCATAGTTAGTTCCTGGTATAAAAAAGCCAGCAGTGCTGAAGTATATGAGTCTAGCGTTTTCTTTAATATTATTAAGAAAAAGTAGTTGGGGAAGAGAATACCAAAAATATTGGCAAAATATTGATAATGTTTGGAGACAGGTAATATGTACACTCACATATATACTCACATTATACTACATTTTTCTAGAACTATATTTTTTAGAAAACTAAGTAGATGAGTATTTTAAAAACTATATTCTGTAGAATTTGAAGAGGAGATATTGTGGCTTGCTTTTGGTCGTGGCTCAAAATAAAGATTTTGTCTTTAAAGCCTATCTTTTTTTGTAACTGATAGTGAATCATTCTTTAAATCAGAATTTCACATTAATTTCATTGTGGTAAATTACTTTGTGCTCTCCATGAATGTATACTGCAGTAATGGCATGTGATTATGAATACAATAATATGGTATATTCATTTTTCTGTCACTGAATTAAAAGTCTTTTCAAAGATTCAAAGTCCATGTTGATTGTGTGTGTGTGTGTGTGTGTGTGTGTGTGTGTGTGTGTGCTGGTATCAGAGTTTGAACTCAGAACCTCAGGTTCTCAGTTGGCTTTTTTGCTCATGGTTGGCACGCTACCACTTGAGCTACGCCTCCTTTTTCATCATGTGAATACTTTTTAAAAATAGTTCTCTACTCTGGTTCTCTTTAACATAGAAACGTATCTTTCTCACCTAATTTTGTTTGATAAAGTTATGAGTCTTACTAAAACAGGTGTTGGTTTTGGTAGAATACTATGTAGCACTGTGATTGTGTCTCAGGAGGAGATGGCTCTCACTCCGCTGCCTCACTGGTGTCTGAATTGACAGCCTTTTGCCTTAGCCTCCCAAGTGCCAGCATTAGAGTCCTGCGTCTCACGCAACTTGTAACACTTTTAAAATAAACAATTGTTTTTAACACTTTCGAGGGGTAGTATTTTATGTATTGGGTAGACTGATAGCCCAAATGATTAGGTTATTTTTATGTGGATTAATTTTTCATATTGTATGATAGTGGAATACTGAGTCAAGGCAAAATATTAACATGTCATATTTTTTGTTCAGCTATTTATAAGCATTATTAAGAAAATACATAATGAATTTATATCGATGTCGTCAGATGTGATAATGCTCTGCCAACTTTGATAAAGTTACCCAAACCTAAAATAATGCTTTTTTTGTGTTTTTAATATGTTTAAACCAAAAGTTCCAGCAGAAATGTTTTCCTTTGTGGTATTTGTTTTGGTTGTTTTTGTCCCCTCTCTTGGGGAAATCTGAAATGTCAGGCAACATTCCCTTGTCCCATCTTTGAATACGACTCTATCATCTAGTTGATTAAGGCCAAGGTTGCTGCTAAGAAGCACCTTGCATCCATAGGTCAGAACCCACTTCAAGAGTCACCAGGTGTAAAGTTTCAGGGATCTAGGGTGAAAAACCTGATGTAGGCATAAGGATAGGAATTAAAATATTTTTTTATTGTCTTGCTTCATATCAAGATAATTTGGTTACAGTGTGTTCTCCAGTATTGTTAAATATATGGTTTCAATTCACCTTAGTCTTTTTCTTTGACTTCTGAGTTGCTTACTGAGTACAGAGTTAGGGAGCCATGTTCCTTTTGTTTATTGGGTACCATCACCAAGGCTATTGCTAGAGTAATTGTAAAGCCATGGTCAGGGGAAAGATTAGGCTATTTTCAAAGATTTTTATTACTATTAAGTGGTTGTACAAAGTGTTTACAAAGTCAGGTTATGATTCATTGATTTTTTAAAATTTCATGTAAGGATAATGATAATTATTTTTCTTATAAGTGGTATTATAACCACTATACTTATTTCTGTAAAAGGTAAAATTGAAAAAGTTTTCTGTATTAGACTAGTAGGTATATAACACATTATTGTTTTTATAGTTGTTTCCTTAGTCTTAGATTTGTTTTAGTTAAATATCAAATGTTAGTTAATGAATTAGTTTTGCTTAAGTGAATTTCAGTAGTTATAATTCTTTTTTAGTATGCTTGAAATTGAATTCCTATTTTCTTCTTCCCTCTTTCCTCCTTTATTTTTTTAAGCTACCATTAAAATATTCCTAAAAATAGCTTGAGTTCCTATTACCTAATGGTAAGAAAGATTTTGTCTGTTGTTTTTGTGATGGTAGGAGACCTGATCTTACTGGTATTTATTTCTTCATTGAGTAGGTGACTGGTATTGTGGTCCTGCCACTGAGCTTGATACTGAGCCTGATGAGGAGTGGGTGAAGAATAGGAAAGATGAAAGTCGTGCATTTCAGGAGTGGGATGAAGATGCCGACATAGATGAATCTGGTAAGTTGTGTCTGCAGTGAACATTATCACAGGGTGTTTTTCATAGTTGACAATGGATTTAATATTACTAAGAAATATTCAATTCATGTGTTTTGGATGGAGCTAGGAACCTGTAAGCCTACCTACACAGGAGGCTGACATCAGAGGGATCACAGTTCAAAGTCAGCCTGGGCACCAAAGTCCATGACACTCCATCTACAAAATAAGTAGCAAAAAGCTAGGCTGGAGGTATGACTCCAGTGGTAGAGAACCTGCTGTGTAGAGCAAGCTGAGTGAGAGCATAAAGCCCTGAGTTAAAGCCAATATTCTGGCACCCACACCAAAAATTTAATGTGTTCTATGTTTTATTTTTTTTTTTTTTTGTCAGTCATGGGGCCTGAACTCTGGGCCTGGGCACTATCCCTTAGCTCTTCAGCTCAAGGCTAGTGCTCTACCACTTGAGCCACAGCACCACTTCCGGCTTTTTTCTTTTTGTTAATGTGGTGCTGAGGAATCAAACCCAGGGCCTCATGCATGCAAGACAAGCACTCTACCACTGAGCCACCTCCCCAGCCCCTGTTCTATGTTTTCTAAAGAATCTTGTTTTTAAATGTACTGCTGCTTAAATTAGAATGAGCAGATTAAAATTTTTATTGTTGCAACACTAATGTATATTGTGGTTTTGTATTTAACACAAAATGATAACCAATTTTCTGAATGGAAATAAAGTACATTTCTTATAGTTCTTTGTAGTTTACTGTGCTTTTTAGGTCTGTTTTGGTTAATCAGTTTATCAGAATTTATTGAGGCTATGAGGAAGGAACTATGATACTGTTGAGTTTTACTCATTTGTAAAGTCATAAGGTAGAAATAGGAACTAATGTCTAGTGCCAGTGGCTCATGCCTGTAATCATAGCTTCCCATGTGGTTGAAATCTGAGGATCATGGCTTGAAACTAGCCGGGACAGAGAAGTCTGTGAGAATCATCTCCAACTAACCACCTAAAAGCTGGAAGTGGAACTGTGACACAAAATGATGAGTGTTAGCCTTGAGCATGAAAGCTCTTCAGGACTGGTGCACGCACACAATAATAATAATAATGTATATAGGAATTGTAGGTTGGGAGTGAAACTCTGTTCTGTAGCATGTGTAAAGCTACAGCCAGGTTCAATCCCCAGCACCATGTACACCAAAAAAAAAGTTTGATATGGAAATTCTTCATGTGGTAGTGTAATAAAAATGAGTGCAGTCATTTGGGAAGTACTGTGGGAAAATTCAAGAGTGAATAGGAATGTATAACTACCAAAGTATGTAATTCTTAGTTCAAGGTACATAATGAAAAATACTGGAATAGAAATGATGCATATAGAGCAGAAAAGTCTGAGACTCTTATTTCCAATTAAAAAATGTAACTAGAGGCATGGCTCAAGTGGTAGAGCACCAGCCATGAGCATGAAAGCTGAGTGAGAGTGAGAGGCCCTGAGTTCCGGCTCTAGTACAGAAATCAGCACCACCACCAGCAACAGTCAAACGAAACAAAACAAGAACGATACAAGCACATTGGGCACTGTATCAGTTTTTGTTTGTTTGTTTGTTTTCCAGTCCTAGGGTTGGAACTCAGGGCCTGGGCACTGTCCCTGATTCATTTGCTCAAGGCTAGCACTCTACCACTTGAGCCACAGTGCCACTTCCAGCTTTTTGTTTATGTGGTACTGAGGAATTGAACCCAGGGCTTCGTGCATGTTAGGCAACCACTCTACCACTAGGCCACATTCCCAGCCCCTGTACAGTGTATCAGAAGATAATAATAAGTATTGTGGCAGAAGCAAGGAAGGGAAAAGAGTCAGTTTTCAACAGAGTTGATTGATTGATCAGGTCTTTGGAGAAGCTTAATTTAGCTTTTCTAATAATGCCCATGACAAAAGTTTTCCCCTATATGTCAAATTGGGGTGTGTAGTAGTTGTTCGCTGCTCAGCTCCCTATGCAGTACTGGGACTTGAATAAAGACCTTACATAGGCTACACCAGGAGTCTACCACTGAGTTAATTACATCACCCATAAATACCTAATCCCTACAGATGTTATTAAGTAAAATGCCAAAGCCATGTCCAATTTTAACCTAGCAATTCTAAGGTACCTTCTTTTGCTTGATTCTTTATGGCCAGGCTAATTGAGATCAGTTTCACATGTCTTCTAAATCTTACTTTTATTGAAATAGAATAACAGGTAGTAATCATTTATTTGGCATTGCACAGTCTGTTTTTTAAAGAAGTATTCAGAGTGCATTGCCTGAAAGTTGAATTGTTTGCAGAAATGAGCTTAAGGAGAACACAAAATACTTCATATTTAATGATTTGAAGACTTTAAGTATTCTAATTATAGTTACTGAGTTCTTACAAATTCCAATTCATTTCGCAGAAGAGTCTGCAGAAGAGGAGTCCATTGCTATTAGCATTGCACAGATGGAAAAACGTTTACTCCATGGCTTAATTCATAATATTCTACCGCATGTTGGTACTTCTGTAAAAACATTAGTGTTAGCATACAGCTCCGCAGTTTCCAGCAAAATGGTACGTATAAGTAAACACTAGTTTGAGTATGATGAAAGTAGTGATAGTTTGGTTTGCTTATTCTAAAATTTAAGGAAAAAGAATAATTGAGGACTTCATATAGATAGGCATTCATGGTTAGCTTTTGTATTATTTCACTTCTTACAACAACCTTTGTAGCATGAATACCATTACTTATACTGTAGATGATGGACTCAAGACAAGGAGGGGTTAAATAGTGTGCTTTAGTTTCGTAGATGTGTGGTGAAGCCTATTTTCACTACATAGGATTTCAAGATTCTTCATCATATGTAAGGTATGATGAGATGAAATCACTGTTTTATAGAAGGGTAACTTTATATATTAGAATAGCCTTGGGTCTTCCTTAAGAAAGATGTGGATTGCCTGGGTATAGTGTCAAAACTGCTAAAAGATTCTCAGAGCTTCGAGCCCAGAGTATATGTGTGTGTATATATTTTAATGCACAATATGAGTGTCTTTTAAATATGCTCATGCATTTGGAAACCACTAGACTATATTCCTGTTGCCTTTTGTTTATCTTAACTAAACGTCTATAGATCTTCACAGTGACTTCTTCCCTCTTGTAGGTTAGACAGATTTTAGAGCTTTGTCCTAACCTGGAGCATCTGGATCTTACCCAAACTGACATCTCAGATTCTGCATTTGACAGGTTAGTGATTTTAAAATAATTTAAGCATTATAAATTCTAACTATGAATCAGTAGTCTTTTAAAGTTTCTCATTTACGTTAACTTAAATAACTGCTGTTTAATCATACTATTTTACTACTAAATCGGTGTGGCTTCAGCTTGAAAGCACTCTCCAATCTTCTGTCTTTTATTCATAGCTGTAAGCTCATCCCACAAGTTTATCATCTTGTGCTGTGGCTAGGTTTTCAGCCATCTAGATTATTACGTGGTTCTGAGGTTTTAGTTGGGCTGTTAAGTGCCATTTGGTAAAGCTTGCTTTTGTTTTTTCACAGTTGGTTTTGGTACAGGCCACTTGAAGCTACACTCTGCAGTTTGACACTTTTGAGCATATAATTGGTCTCCTCTGTAGTGTAGCTCACCCCTCCTTCCCACCTAGCGTTTCCTGTTTTGGAGGGAATGATCTTTCGCTAAGGCCAATGCTCTGTGTTTCCATAGCTTGTTACTTCTGTTTCTTCTATTGATCATTAGTCATTTACTCTCCTTCATATCTATATGTTGACTGCTAACTTTTTAAGTATGTATTAAATATGTTGCTACTTGCTTTTGGGTAATAAACTTAAGCTTCTCCCATCCTGTCCTAATGTTAGGTTAGCAATATTATCAGTTCCTCATTATACTATCTTTCTGAATTCCAACACTAAGCATACTGCCTGACAGTAGATGTTCAGTTAATGAGTGGTGATGTGAGACTTAGAATCTTCATTACATGCATACATGTAGTAGTTCAGTGCTTTTGAGTAATTTGACAGTACTCACTAAGTGCTTGTTACCTCTTACTTGTAGTTGGTCTTGGCTTGGTTGCTGCCAGAGTCTTCGGCATCTTGATCTGTCTGGATGTGAGAAAATCACAGATGTGGCTCTGGAGAAAATTTCCAGAGCACTTGGCATCCTGACCTCTCAGAGTGACTTTCTGAAAACCTCTGCAAATACAATTGCTTCAACTACATGGAAAAATAAAGACATTACCATGCAGTCTACCAAGCAATATGCCCGTTTGTGTGATTTAACTAACAAGGACATTGGAGAAGAAATAGATAATGAACATGCCTGGACTAAACCTGTTTCTTCTGAAAGTTTCACTTCTCCTTACGTGTGGATGTTAGATGCTGAAGATTTGGCTGACATTGAAGATACTGTAGAATGGAGACACCGCAGTGTTGAAAGTCTCCGTGTAATGGAAACAACATCCAGCTTTGCTTGTTCCTCAGCTGGTTGTTACAGGAAGGATATTGTTGGTCTAAGGACGAGTGTCTGTTGGCAACAGCATTGTGCTGCTCCGGCTCTTGCTTACTGCGGTCATTCATTCTGTTGCACAGGAACAGCTCTAAGAACTATGGCAGCACTCCCAGGGTCTTCCGCAGTGTGTGGAAAAGCATTAAGGACTACGTTGCCTAGGGAAAATGACTTACTTTATTTTGGGAGTGACAAATGTGATCAAGTGACTGGACGAGTACTTTTGTTTCTCAGTCTGTCTGGATGTTATCAGATCACAGACCATGGTCTCAGGTGAGTAATCAGTTCCAGAGTGTAGCATTCAATGGAAAACGAATCAGAATCTCTTCTGGTCCAACATTCAGAAAATTTTAGGAGGAGGAAGATACCTGTGTCGATATGGGTTTTCAAGGTTTTATATTCTGGATAAGTCAGGGAGTTAATTTTGCAGAAAAGTAGAAAATTGTTTTTGTTTTATGGTATGGTTTTGGCAGTTATTAACACTTCTTATTAAACTAGGCATTAGTGGCTGGTGGCTTACACCTGTCATCCTAACTACTGAGGAGGCTGAGATCTGAGGATTGCGGTTCAAAGCCAGCCTAGGCAAGGAAGTTCTTTAGAATGCATGAACACACACTCACACGCATGCACGCACGCACGCACAAGCTCGGACAGTGTCCAGGCCCTCAGTTTAAGCCCCAGGACTAGCACACACAAAATCTAATCTTGTTGTTGCTAATGGAATTTGAAGTAAGCTGCATTTCCTTCCTTCCTCCTTCCCTCTCTTCCTCCTCTCTCTTAACTTCCCTCATTTCCTCCCCTTCTCCCTGTCTCCCTGTCTCCTTCCCTCCCTCCCTCCCTCCCTCTCTCTCTTCCTTCCTTCCTTTTTTCCCTCCCTCTTTCCTTCCTTCTCCTTTCTTTTTCTTTTCCTTTTCTTTTTTCTTTTTTTGTGCTGGTCCTAGGGCTTGAACTGAAGGCCTGGGCGCTTTCCCTGAGCTTTTTTGCTCAAGGCTGGTGCTCTACCACTTGGGCTATAGATCCACTTCTGGCTTAAAAAAGAAAATTGTTATAAAGGTGATGTACAGAGGGGTTATGGGTTCATAAGTCACGTATCAAGTACATTTCTTTCTGGATAATATCACCCCATCATTCGCTCTCTCCCAGTTATTCCCTCCTGTATCTGCCCACAAGTTGTATAGTTTATTTTCTACATAGTCTCTATTGTACCACTGCTGCATTTGCCCCTTTGTCCCCCAATATACTTCTTGTTTTTTGGTGGCAAATTGGAGATAAGAGTGTCACTAACTTTTCTGCCTGGACTGTCTCCAAACAGTGACCCTCAAATTGTAGCCTCCTGAGTAACTGACATGTGTAAGTCATCGGCACCCAGCTTGTAGGCTGCATTTTTTCTTAGAGTTTTCATAAATAATGATGAGAACATTGTATCTTAGGCATGTTTAAAAGGAATAATTTGGATGGATGAATGAATTCCTTTTTGAGACAAAGGCATATATAACGTGTTGTATGTGGTGGCTAATTGAAAAAGTTTGCAGTCTGAGTATAGATTTATCTGTTGTTAGTTACTTTATCTTCAAGGACTAAATCATTAGATATTTACTAAGTATGTACTATTTGCTCTTTTCTAACTGCTAAGGATTCAGAATAAATCTTTTCTTTACTGGTCTATTTAGGTTTTCTATTTCTTACTAATTGAACTTTGCTGAATTATATTTTTTTCTAGAGATTTTCTAATTTCTTCCTGACTCTTAAATTCTTTGGCATGTAACATAATAGTCTTTTATGATCTTTCTCTTTGTGTGCCGCTGTTGGGGCTTAAACTCAGGGCCTAACATCATCACTTGGTCTTTCTGTTTATGGCTGGTGCTCTACCCTGCGAGCCATGCCTCTAGCTCAGCTTTTCTGTCCAGGCTGGCTTCAAATCACAATCCTCAGATTTCAGCCTCCCAAGTAGCTAGGATTACAGATATTATAGACATGAGCCACTGTTGCCTGGCTCTTTCCTCGTTTTATTTTATTTTACTTATTTCTTTTACTGTGGTTAGGAGTTTTGTTGATTTTGTCTTTTCAAAATGCTCACCTCTTTTAGCTTCAATGATTTTTTTTTTCCTGTGATTTTTCAAGATACTTCATTTATTACTATTCCGATCTTTATTATTTCCTTTTTTTGCGCTATAACTTGGGATTTAGGTTCTCTTTTTCTAGTTTATTGAAGCATGTTGTTAGTCTTTTTGAGATATTTTTCTTGTTATAAACATGGTATTTATTACTGAAGGGCAGTTTTGCTGAGCATGGTGTTTGGCTGACAGTTCCCCCCCCCTCTTTTTGTGATATGAAAGTTTACCTCTCATGCAGTTTGTCCTACTTTGAGATACTTTTTGAGATTATTTAGACTGTATTTAGAAGTGGTATCTTTTAATTTTAATTTTGAATTATAGGCTTTATAAATTAATAAGCTAAACCTACTGATTGTTTTCTTACCTGGCAGCCAGTGGTTACCCAGGTAATCCTAATTAAACAGGAAATTCAGATCTGAGGATCAGGATTCAAAGCCAGTCTAGGCAAGAAAGTCTATGAGACACTTAGCTCTAATTCACTAGCAAAAAGCTGGAAGTAGAGCAGTGGTTTAAGTGGTAGAATGCCAGCCTTGAACAAAAAATATCAGTGACAGCTTGACAGCTCTTGGTCCCTAAGTACAAGCCCTAGTATGCTCACCAAGACTATTTTCTTGGCCTGTACATAGTATGTCTACAGTTCAAGCACTTGAGAGACAGGCAAGATAATTATAGATTTAAGGGCAGTTTGGCTACATAGTCTCATCAAAACAACAATAACAAAAAAGGGAGAGAAAAGACTTTGTCTTTAAAGAAATAAGAACTGTTTTCTCTAGCTGCTGTGGCTTTGTCAAGCCACAGAGATTCTGAACTGCTACCATTGTAGCTTACAGAGGGGCAGAAAGCTACACTTTTTTTTTTTTTGGTTGGTCGTGAGGCCTGAATTCTGGGCCTGAGCGCTGTCCCTCAGCTCTTCAGCTCAAGGCTAGCATCCTACCACTTGAGCCACAGTGCCACTTCCAGCTTTTTCTGTTTTTGTGGTACTGAGGAATCAAACCCAGGGCTTCATGCATGCGAGGCAAGCACTCTACCACTGAGCCACCTTTCCAGCCCCAGAAAGCTACACTTTGGAATAAACAAAGAAAATAAAATTCTTTTTTTTTCTTTTTTCTTTCTTTTTTTTGTTGGTTGTGGGGCTTGAACTCTGGGCCTGGGTGCTGTCCCTCAGCTCTTCAGCTCAAGGCTAGTGCTCTACCACTTGAGCCACAGCACCACTTCTGGTTTTCTGAGTAGTTTATTGGAGATAGAGTCTTATGGACTTTTCCTGCCTGGGCTGGCTTTGAACTGATCCTCAGAGCTCAGCCTCCTGAGTAGCTAGGTTTACAGGTGTGAGCTACCAGTGCCTGGCTGAAAATCACAGTGGCTCACGCCTGTAATCCTAGATACTCAGCAGGCTTAGATCTGAGGATAATGGCTCAAAGCCATCCTGGGCAGGAAGATCTGTGAGACTCTTATCTCCAGTTACTCATCAAAAAGCCAGAAATAGAGCTGTGGCTCAAGTGGTAGAGTGCTAGCTTTGAGCACAAAAGCTCAGACTAAGTACCCAGGCCCTGAATTCAGGAGCCAAGTTTGGCACACACACACAAAAGTTCTTCTTAGTCATATAAAAACCATATTAGTTTCCTCTTTTAATCATGTAGCTACAAAATTCTAAAGTGTACTGTCCCATTCTTTAACATTTAATGTCCTCACTGAATACATGACTCAGTATTTTCATATTAATAATACTTTCCTAATTTCTTTGTTGCTGCATAATAACTTTTTATGTTTTGTGCTGGTCCTTAGGCTTGAACCCAGGTTTTAGCTGCTGTCTTTAAACTTTTGAGCTCAAGGCTAGCATTTTACCAGTTGAGCCACAGTTCCACTTCTGGCTTTTTGGTAGTTAAGTGGAAATAAGAGTTTCATAGATTTTCCTGCCTGGTCTGTGTTTAAACTGCGATCCTCAGATCCCAACCTCCTGTGTAGGTAGAATTAAAGGTGTGAGCCACTGGTGCCTGGCTTTGCATAATAATTTTTTAAAGTCATTATGTTATATCAGTTTCTTTTGACATCCCTTTCCTATTCCCAGTTTTCCATTTTATTATTGTAATATCGTTTAAGTTTCTATTGAATAGAAAATGGACATCTTTGATTTTTGTTCTTGATGTATTTTACTTCTTACTATTGTTCTAACCATCTTCTCACTTTATCCTATATGTACAAATATTGATTTCATTTTTCCACAATGTGCTATTAGATTCTCTCCTTAGGGTTATTTTGTAATTCATACACATAGAATACACCTGTTTTAGTGTGCAGTCCATTGACTTTCAGCATATTTACAAGGTTGTGCAACTATCACCATTACCTAATTTTAAAATATTTTTTGTAGTTGGGCTCTGGTGAGCTCATCATACCTGTAATCCTAGCTACTCAGGAGCTGAGATCTGAGGATTGTGGTTCAAAGCCAGCCCATGCAGAAAAGTCCGAGAGACTTATCGCCAATTAACCAGCAGAAAACTGGAAGTGGCACTGTGGCTCAAGTAGTAGCCTGCTGGCCTTGGGCCAGAGAGTTCAGGGACAGCGCCCAGGTCCAGATTTCAAGCCCCATGACCACCACCACCCCAACAAAATGTCATTCCTAGCAGAAACCCCATACTTACTTGCATTCCCATTTCAGTCTTCCTTGTCTCTAGCCCCTGGCAACAACTAATTTACTGTCTGGATTTACCTATTCTAGAGTAATAATGTTAGTGGCGTCCTGCACTTACATAAGCTTTTGTTTATGCCTTTTCTTCACTTAACTATGTTTTCAAGGCTTATGCATGGCACAACTTGTGAGGTAATTTGTAGCTGTGTAACATTTTAATTATATAGGCATATACCACATTTTGTTTGTCCATTCATCAGTGGATATTTGGGCTTTTTTTTTGCTTTTGTGGTGCTGAGGAATTGAACCCAGGGCTTCATGCATGCAAGGCAAGCGCTCTACCACTGAGCTACCTTCCCAGCCCCGATATTTGGGCTTTTTCTGTGTAAATAATGCTACCATGAACATTGGTATGGAAGTTTTTGTGTGGACATGTTTTTGTTTTCTATTTCTACCTATAATTTCTGAGGGACTAACTTTTAGGTTTAAAATTTCAGTAGTTTTGATTTTTATTTAGATAACCTGGTCAGAGAATGAACATTTTAAAACTGGGGTTCAGTGCTTCCTTCTTTTGAGAATTGAGTTACTCTATTGTACGTAGAAGGTAAAGTCCTATAGACTTGTTTATTGCCTATCTTCAGTAACAACGTAGAAAGTTTTTCTGAGTTCACTGCATTCCTGCCTAAGGATGAAGCTAGTTATTAGGGTTTTACAGAAATTCAAAAATATTTTTGTTACCCAATTTTGGTAAGTGTATAAAGTTTGGCCAGTGTGCCATAGGAATACAGATGATTCTATAAGTTAATATATTCTAATTGTCAATGATTTCTCCTTACAGGGTTTTGACTCTGGGAGGAGGGCTGCCATATTTGGAGCACCTTAATCTCTCTGGTTGTCTTACTGTAACTGGTGCAGGCCTGCAGGATTTGGTTTCAGCATGCCCTTCCCTAAATGATGAATACTTTTACTACTGTGACAACATTAACGGTAATGCCTTTTAGCAGTGAGATAATTTTGAAGGCATTGATTCAAAGCTTTTTAGCAGTTGTCATAATTAGTATGGTTTCTGTTTTTTCTAGATTCCTAATTACACAGATTTTTACAATTAGTCCTTTAAATTTGATTAAAATTATTTTTAAGTAATAGATTTTTCATTAGCTTCTTGAAAGGTAAGTTGTCTTGTGGAATACATATTTCAAATACCATTTTACCACTAGAGTCATGTAGTGGTGTCATCATTCAAATATGATGGTTATGGGAATGCTAAAATTTTTATAAGATTTTGAAAATCTTCTCTATAGTGTGTGGCATTAACAATTTAGAGGTAATGATGTTCTGAGACAAGGATTTCTGATGGATTGCAGACTTCTCTTTTCTGCAGTAAAACTTCAACCAGTGCAATAGATAAAGGAGGACTTTGGTAGTATGAGTTCTGGGTCTGATTGCAGATAAATCTCACTAAAGATTTAAGATTATTTTATGCTGATCCTGGGGCTTGAACTTGGGACCTGGGCGCTGTCCTTAAGCTTTTTTACACAAAGCTAGTGCTCTGTCATTTGAGCCACAGCTCCACTTCTGGCTTTTTGGACTTTCCTGGCTGGCTGGCTTTGATCTCAGATCTTTGGCTCAGATCTCAGCCTCTTGAGGTGCTAGGATTACAATCCTGAGCCACCAGTGTTTGTATTTTTAAAGTCTATTTTGTCTTGTAAAGAAATATTGAAAATAGTTTTTCAAACCATATTCAGTATCTTTTTGGGCAATTTGATAGTCCAGTAGAGACTGAATTTCCCAGAAGTATGAAGAACTGCTTCTCAGATCTTACTAAATAAAGCATCCTTTTGTATTGGTCACTGAGAAAAAATTAAGACAGCCCACATTCCATTATGTACTTACTTTTTTGTACCAAACACATTGTCTTTAAGAGCCAATCTCATGTTAATATGTCTGGAAGATCACATTTGGGTTTTCCTCAGGCAGGAAAGTTGACAGGAGCCAGAAAGACTAGAGAGTAATGACATGTCAGGAAGTAGAGAAGCTAGCAAATTTGCCATCGCTCAGAAATTAGATTGTCTTTCAAATACTCATGACCTGGGTGCCAGTGGCTCATTTGTTATCCTCACTACTCAGGAGGCTGAGATCTGAGGATCGTGGTTCAAAACCAGCTCATTCAGGAGTCTGTGATACTCATCTCCAGTAAACTACTTGAAAAAGCCAGAAGTGCTGTAGCTAAAGTGGCAGAATGTTAGCCTTGAGCACAAAGAGGCTCAGGGACAGTGCCCAGGCCTCAAGTTCAAGCCCCAGATCTTGCAAAAATAAATAAAATAAAATATATATGAAGAAACAGGAGATCGCAGCTCTCTTGTTTCTGGAATTACATTGTTTTGCAACAGATGACTTCTCATGTTTTTAGTACATCATTAAGTTGGAGCAAATGCCTTCAGTGTAATCAAGGAATGGTAAAAGTCAGTGCTTGTGGCTTCACCTGCTGAGCCTATAAAAGCAATGTAGTCAAACCAAGCAGCTACTTTTACTCATGCAGAGGACTTGAGAGACTGGAGTTTGTTTTGTTTTTGTTTCAGTGTACTTCCTAGGATTTATAGCACACACTAGGAACAGTAATGAGTAAGCAATTACTTTACATTGAGAAAATTATTTTCATATTGCACTGTGAATTTCAGTATAGGTTATATTTGGGAACAAATCTTACATCTATTTGTTATATTGTGTTTGTTTAGTTATATAGACGTTTTGGGTGGTAAGATAATGGGTTTCAGTTCATTTTTATGATTTATCTCCTTATTTTGTGTTTATGTGTTTTTAAATGTCTTGAAATAATTTAGATGAAAGGATAGTTAAATAATTAAATTTTAGTACTTTGTCAGTATTCTTGCATCTTAATTTGTTTAGAATATATAAATACTACATTGTTCCAAAGGTGCTGTTATATTGGTTTTGTTGACTGTAAGGCTTTTTTTTTTTTTTGCTAAGTGGTAATTTTCAGTAAAATTTTAACGTATCTGACTTTGCAAGATTTGAAAGTAAATTTCAGTGCTTTAATAAACCAATGTTAAATTACATTTTGTATGACTTAGAAGGGTGGCTTGTCACGTGACCTGTGCTCCATAATTTCAGCTAGTTGCTCTTAAAGCAGTTCTCTGGTACTAGTTTTTCCTTAAAATGACTTTTGGACAACCTAGAAAATGCTGATTTTCTTATACAGTTTGGAAGATTGACACTGTCTTTCAAAGCAACTCAGCTTGTACAGGAAGTATTGAGTACTTAGTGGGCCCCTTTTTATCACTATTTTCTCTGAAAGTACTAGCATGTTTTAGTGTATGGTCTTACAGTGATAAGAAAACATATTTAGATAGCATTTTATATTAAATATTTTAAAGCAATATTTAACTTAAATGTATTTTGTTAAAAGAAAATATACTTATTTAAATACCAGTTTATTAGCTAAAAGGAGTAAATTACTGGTATGCAGTAGTTATAAACTAGTAAAACTAACTAAGCATTGGCGGAGGCTTTGGGTTAAATAACTCAGTTGTCAGATATTTAAATGGTTGGTTTGTTGAGCAATACAATTTGCTACGAACTGATAAAGATGTGATTTTAATCCTTTCAGGTGATTCTCTAGATTTAAATTTTGTTTTTTTGATTTGAATAGGAAGATTTCTTAGCCACAATATTTATAAACTCCTTTATCATCTAAGAAGTGTTGATTAAGTGACACAGTTTAGAGTCCTTGAAGAACATTGGAACAATAATGGCAAATAAACTTTTTATACTGATTTGCATTTCCAAGTATGTATAATATATAAATTAAGATAGATTAGCTCATAGTTCTGGAGGTGACCAAGTCTCAGATGATTTGCTCTCTTATGTTTCTAACTTAAGTTAAAGAGGAATTAAAGGTAAGTGAAGGTAAGTGCAGATATACACTAGCATGAATAATATATAGTACTTACAATACAGCAGAAATGTCAATAATTACAATTTTGGGGAAATAATAGCTACTTTTATAGTTCTCATAATATTTAAATGCTTTGTTATGATTTATTCTTTACTATGATTTAAAGAGTTCAGTAGTTGTATATTTTCCTATTTCTATTTATTCTTTAATTTAGTCCATATATATTATAACTTTGGGTTCTCCTACATTTAGAAATTTGTTGTTGATAATTCAGGTACTTAAAGAGAGTGATATTTTGAATTGTTAATGTCTGTTTACTTGATAATGTTGGAAATCTCCAATATCTTAGTCATATTCCTTTCTGATAGTACATCACTTTTTCTGCTATCCACGCATCTCACAATCATTCTGTTATACTAATTTTTATACTTCTTTCCTTGAAAATGAGTTGGTATACTTCTACTGCTTCCAGCTATTGCTTATGCTTTTTTTCCCCTAAGCTATTGTTGAATCCATTCCTATTACCCTTCCTTCTTTACCTTTCTGTCATCTTTTTAAAAAATAGGGTGGTCCATATGGGTGGTTCACACACCTGTATTGGCATCTACTTGGGAGACTAAGGCAGGAGGATTGCTTGAGTCTGGGAGTTTGGGACCAGTCAGGGTAACATAATGAATGAGGCACTGGTTCTGGGGGAAAACAGTAGGACACATTTTGAAGTAGTTTTGAGTGTTTTCGTTTGGAAAATTGAAAGTCTTCATGTATGTTATTGCTTCTACCTTAAAAATTTGAGAAACTGAATTTCATTTGGATAAAATGGTAATCACTTATTCCTTGGCAAATCTAGCAATTTAGGCAGTTCATAAGATGGTCATGTTGGAGCTGGAAATGGGGCATGGGGCAGGGCTTGTCTGGGAGAAGGGCACTAAAAGAGTGGGAGCAAAGTAGTTATTATGTAAAGGCGATGAAGGCAAACCAAGATGTGCAAAGATCGGGGCTGGGTTGTTGTTAGGTAAAGCAGGAAAACTGGTCTAACGCTGATAATGGGAGAAAAAATTCCAAGGATTAACATTTCTTATCAGGGCATTTCTAGTTAATAAAATATGTACTTTTTAAGAAATTGTTACTGTTAAGATGATTTAGTTTTGTATCAATTTGAGGCAAGTTAATCTTGACAAAAGTGCTGCTTTATAAATTTTACCTCTGGTTTTGTAAATTTGGCTGAAAATTTGTTTTTACATTCAACTCTTTGTTGAAAAAAGTGGAATAGATAATTTTGATTAAATAAAAATGGGCTGGCAGCTGTCTAATTTTATAAACTACTTTTAAGCCTTTCCTTTGGGAAAATTTAAATGTAAGTCCACATATACTGTCAGCTGCCACAGTTCTAATTCTGGCCTTGTCACTTGATCTGCACAATATCCACCACTGAATGTGCTACCATCAACTTGAAAGCTAACCCCAGCATCCTGTCAATTTTAAAATTAAATATTTGGGTGTGGTGGGGGGAGAGATGAGAAGGGGAAACATGAGGAGGCAATAATGTTTGATAAGAAATGTACTCATTACCTTGCCCATGTAATTGTAACTCCTCTGTACGGTATTTTCACAATAAAAAAAGAAAAAAATATATAAATATTTGAACATAAATGAAAGTGTTTGCTGTTGCAATTCTGCCTACATCTGTAAAATTGAGTATTTCTTAAAGATAGGTGGTATCATTCCCATAGTGAACTGTATCAGCATTGTACCTTAGCGACTCTATTCTAAGATTTTCTCCATTTTAATTTGTTTTAGTGGTATTAGCATATTGGTCTTCTTTTGCAATGAAGTGCTACTCTTTAGAAACAATGCAAATTTAAATACATTTCTGAGCTATGCTAGGTTTCCTGATGTTTTCTTTACAATCTGTTTGATGTGTTCTGCAGTGAAGTTAGAGTTAATGTCATTCTTCAGTTTTCATTGCCTTAACCCAACTGCAGAGTTTTGGCTTTCTAGGGGTTGCATCAAGAACTAATTAACCAAGCTATTTGTTCATGGTGCTGGCATACTGAGACTGCAGTATAGTAGAAACAACCATTCCACATTTGCTTTTCTTCATAAAAACATCTGTGCTGTGAACACTTCGTTATTTTCTAATTCCTAGTTACATTCACTAGTGATGTTTTATCTAGTGTCTGGGTTCCATTGTGTGGCTGGACATTTATTCTACAGATAGCGTTTCCTTCCTTTCTGTTAGAGAATCACAATTTTTATTTATCTTAGATATGTATCTAATGAATTATTATATACTTAATTTTGGAAAAATAATTCTAACCATATATGATTGGGGATGGCTACAAATGTTCAATAAAAAGTAGGAAACAGCTGGGTATTGTTAGATCATGCCTGTAATCCCTAGTTACTTAGGAGGCTGAGATCTGAGAATCAGAATTCAAAGTAAGCTGAGGCAGAAAAGTCCAGAAGACTGTTACCTCCAATTAACTACCCCACAAAGCCCAAAAGAAGAGCTGTGGCCCAAGTGGCAGAGGCCTAGCCTTGAGCTTAAAAGCTCAGGTCCTGAGTTCAAGCCCCAGGCCTGGCACAAAATGCACAACGAAACAAAAACATTTCTACCACTCAAGTCCATGTCTCTGTAGGTGATTTTGTTTTAAAAGTTGCTTCTTTAACTGAGAGACAGGATTGTTCCTGTCTTAATTGTATTTCTAGGGAGGATGTTCATATATATGTATGTCTGATGTTAAATTAGCTTGACATTTTACCTCTGTGTCTTGTCCTCCTTGCTGAGATTTTTAGATTGTTGCCAAAAAGTTTTTTTTTTTCCCCTCTTCTGTTTACTTTTTAAACTAGGATATTTAAAGTCAGGCTGTTATGGGCAGTTGGTGTCTGATTAATCTTTATGCACTCATTAACATTTATTTCTGTGTTATAAACATGGTAACACAATTTTTTAGCTTTTTCATGAGAATTTTTTTTATATGATTGCCAAGAAATTCCTCCTTTCACATTCTTCTGTTTTCATGCAGGTCCTCATGCTGATACCGCCAGTGGATGCCAGAATTTGCAGTGTGGTTTTCGGGCCTGCTGCCGCTCTGGCGAATGACCCTTGACTTCTGACCTTTGTCTACTTCATTTAGCAGAGCAGGCTTCCTTTCATGCACTTTACTTACAGGACATTTCTTATCATCCCCGTTGGAGTGTGTCTTGTTTTGGCCCCATTTCTTACAACCTCAGAAATCTTAATTTACCAGTAAATTGTACAGTGTTGTTTTTCTCACAGATACATTTTTGTTTTAGAAAGGGAATTAGGTCTTTTCATCAGGGTGTGAACAGTCTTGCTAGATTACTTTTAATGATATGCTTTGAAACTAATGTCACTATTGCCATGCCTTTCAGATTATTCTGAGTTTTAGTCAGTGGGGCTACTGGTTCTCTGTGTAGACACTACTAAGCTTTGCAGGTGTTTGCAGGCATAGATTTATAAAGTTTGATTTTCAGGGTTACACATTTTGGAAACTAATCTCTTCTCTCTAACATTTTGTTTATTTGAACAAATTCTCAGAGGGCCAATTCAAACATACCTACAGTCCTTTAAGAATAAATTGGCTTCTTTAGTGTTAGCTCAGTGAGCTAGCAGAGCACTAGTCCATTTGTATTTGCTTTCTTCCAAGACCCTTGGTTTCCACTACATTGGTTTCCCTAAATTGTCAAATTTGGGAGGGATTTTTAAGAATTCCACAATCATTTGGAGAAATGTATAAATAAAATCTACTTTGAGGACTTTAACATTGTGTTGTTCTTTTATTAGTATAAATTTAACCCAGGTTTACTTTAGCATAAAATGGGAAGAATATTTTGTCTTTTGAGCCTCTGAAATCACAACATTGACAAGTAGATCCTGAGTATCATCCTGACTATGGGCCTGGGTGCTGTGCTGTTCCTGCTTTTCAAGGCTAGCACTCTGCCACTTGAGCCATACAGCTTACTTCCAGCTTTGTGGGTAGCTAATTGGAGATGAGTCTCATGGACTTTCTTGCCCCAATGTGCTCTGAGTTAGGATCCTTATATCTCAGCCTCCTGAGTAGCTAAGGTTATAGGCAGGAGCCACCAGTGCCCAGCCCAGTAGTCAAATTTTGAATTTGTAAGTCTTAACTATTTTGTGAAAAAAAATTGTGAGTAAAACCTGCCATTAAGAAAGGCACATCATAACAGAATTCTATAACCTTTCAAGAAGAACTAATACCCATACTCTTCAAGCTCTTCACAGAAGCAGAAAAGGAGAGAGCTATCCCAAACTCGTTCTACAATGCCAATATCACACTCATCCCCAAACCAGGCAAAGACACAACAGAAAAAGAACTACAGACCAATCTCCTTGATGAACACAGATGCAAAGATCCTTAACAAAATTCTAGCTAATAGAATCCAGAAACACATAAATCATACACTACGACCAGGTAGACATCATCCCAGAGATGCAGGGATGGTTTAACATACGTAAATCAATAAATGTAATCCAACACTCAACAGATCCAAGGTCAAGAACCACATGATTATCTCCACTGATACAGAAAAGGCTTTGGATAAGATACAACATTCATTCATGTTAAAAGCTCTGGAGAAAATAGGAATAGAAGGAACATTCCTTAAAACAATAAAAGCCATATAGGACAGACCAATAGCCAATATTATACTTAATGGGGAAAAACTACAACCATTTCTTCTAAAATCAGGAAGGATGCCCACTGTCTCCACTCCTCTTCAATATAGTCCTGGAACCCTTAGCCAGGGTAATAAGGCAAGAAAAAGACATTAAAGGGATCTGCATAGGGAAAGAAGTTAAACTATCACTTTTTGCAGATGACATGATACTATACCTTCATGATCCCCAAAACTCCATCCCCAAACTTAGAAATTATAAATCGATTTGGCAAAGTATCAGGATACAAAAATCAACCCACAAAAATCAGTCGCCTTCCTGTACACTGACAATGTACAAGCAGAGAGGGAAAGGAAGCAACCCCATTCACAATTACCCCCCCCCAAATAAGATATTTAGGAATTAACCAAAGATGTAGAAGAACTATTTAACAAAAACTATAAAAACTTAAATTACGGAAGACACCAGGAAATGGAAAGACCTCCCATGCTCTTGGATAGGCAGACAATATAGTGAAAATGGCAATACTGCCAAAATTAATAAATTCAGTGCAATTCCTATTAAATCCCAATGATGTACATTTCTGAGATACAGAAAACAGTCCAAAAATTTATATGGAACAACAAAAGACCTAAAATAGCCAAAACAATTCTAGGCAAAAAAGACAACATGGGAGGGATCTCGATGCCAGGCTTAAAACTTTACTATAGAGCCATAATAACAAAGACAGCATGGTACTGGTACAAAAACAGACCCGAAGACCGATGGAATAGGAGATCCAGAAATAAAACCACATGCCTACAGTCAGCTGATATTTGACAAAGGAGCCAAAGATACACAGTGGAAGAAGCACAGCCTCTTCAATTACTGGTGCTGGGAAAACTGGGCAGCCACATGAAAAAACAAAGTGGATCCCAACCTATCACCATGCACCAACATCAAAATGGATTAAAGACCTTAACATCAAACCTGAATCTCTGAAACTACTGCAGGACAGAGTAGGAGAGATATTTGAACTTACAGGCACAGGCAGGAACTTCCTGAACAGAGTCCCAGGGTCACAACAAATTGGAGACTCGACAAATGGGACTACCTTAAAATAAAAAGTTATTGCACAGCTAAAGGTATAGTAACCAAGCTAGAAAGACAACCACTAATTGGGAAAAAATATTTACCAGCAATATATCAGACAAGAGGTTAATATCCAAGATATACAGGGAACTCAAGAGACTAATCCCTCCCAAACCTAACAAATCAATTACTAAATGGGCAAGGGAACTAAAGAGAGTTCTCAGAAGAAGGGATAAAAATGGCACAGAAACACATGAGGAAATGCTCACCATCCCTGGTTGTGAAGGAAATGCAAATAAAGACAACCCTGAGATACCACCTTACCCCAGTCAGAATGGCCCACATCCTAAAGTCAGCCAACGACAAATGCTGGAGAGGATGTGGAGAAAGAGGAACCCTATTAACACTGCTGGTGGGAGTGTACACTTATATAACTACTTTGAAAAGCAGGCTGGAGGGTCCTCAGAAAGCTAAATATTGACCTCCCTTATGGCCCAGTCATACCACTTCAAGGCATCTATCCTGAACAACAGGAGCCAGGATACAAGGACACATGCATCTCCATGTTTACTGCAGCACTGTTCACAATAGCCAGGATATGGAAACAACCCAGATGTCCCACCACAGATGAATGGATTAAAAAATGTGGTATCCATATACAATGGAATATTATGCAGCCATTAGAAAGGACAAAATAATGGCATTTGCAGGGAAATGGAGCTAGAAGAAATCATGTTGAGCGAGGTAAGCCAAGAGCAAAGAGACAAACGGCACATGGTCTCCCTGATAAGTAGATGTTAAATCCAAAATGTAAGGTGATATGACAAAAATTAACAAGACTTAAGAAACAAAGGACTTCCACTCATCTGGTGGAATCACTACTAAATAACCCCATGCTGCTGATCACATATATGGTATATATGTGCACACCAGAGGGAAACCAGGAGGATGACACAGATCTAGAGGGAATCAGGGAAAAACATACAACAGCAGGACCCATCAGCTGCACTGGACATTGACCAAAATGAACTAAGCAACTCAATGGCAGCGATGGGAGGGAGGGAACAAGTGGGAAAGAGGGAACAGCTGATGCTATGCAAAACAAATGTACATATCACCCAATGTGGAAGAAATAACTGTATTGCAAAGCTCATAGAACTCATAAATGTTATAGACCACGATAGACAATTTGCCCCATGAAAGTTAGAATGTGTTTGTGACTTTAAGCATCACTTCCCCACAATACTGTGAAATTTGGGAAATTATGTAATCACTTAATCACAATAAAGAATTTGAAAAAAAAGGCACATGCTGGGCCATTGTATGGTGTATAATTTTATGTCAGAAAGATGAAATAATGCCGTGGCATGTAAACATGGGCGAGTCAGCTGCTGGGGACAGACATGAGAATTCACTATGCATGTTAATTCAGCTAAGCCTTGCAAAGGATGTTGTGCTCTGAAGGGAGGGTATCTATTGACAGTATAAAGCTGTGTCTTACACTGATGGTGTTTTTATTTTGATTTCACTGCTGTTAATGTTTACAAAACAGCCTATCAGTTTCTTGGTGTCCTTTAGGGCAAGTGGTATAAGCAGAGGTTTTAATTTGTTTTACTTAAGTTTAAGTCAAGTCATTTTGTGGGCTAGCCTCATAAAGGTTTTCCTTTCAAAGTGAGAAGTACATGAGTGTTACCAACAATACCATTTGTCTCACAGAAAACATCAAGCAACATTAGGAGATAATTTTTTTTTGGTTGTTACAGTGGGCTGAAGGGAGAAGGATGCCACATTGTATACATCTCCAGACAGAGCACATACATTTACTACTTAATGCTTTAGTGTAGTCTAAAGTATTTCTCTTCCTATATGTTTTTGTAACAGAATACTACAGACTGAGTAGTTAAGCCACTGATTTCTCTTCATTCTGGTGGCTGGTAAGTTCAAGATAAGTCCAAGTCCAGTGTTCTGTGAGGGCTGTCTTTGGCTTACAGATGGTTATTTTTTTGTTTTAAGGCTTGAGCTCAGAGCATTTGTTGTCCCTTAGCATTTTTGCTCAAGGCTAGCTAGCATCATTCTACCATATGAGCCACAGTTCTACTTCTGGCTTTTGGGGGTTTATTGGAGATATGAATCTCACATTTTCCTGTCTGGGTTGGCTTCAAACCATGATTCTTAGATGTTAACCTCCCAAGTATCTAGGATTATATATAGGTGTGAGTCATCCATGCACAAGGCCATAATCTTCATGTATTCATTTTCATATGGCAGAGACAGAACATGCTCTTTACAGTCTCTTGCAAGAGCACTCTTCTCCCACCATATTACCTCCTGAAAGCTCTCCCAATATGCTGGACATAATGGTTTTAACATGGATTGCCAGGGAATGGTAGGGGCAGGGATGGGGGGTGGGGGCTGTGAAATCCACCAATACTTAGTCTATAGTAGTATCTTAGAACTGCTTCCCCTTTTGGTGACTAAATATGTTCCTTCCCCCAATACTACATTTTAATGGGTGTGCACGTGTAGGCTTGCTCAGTATTTTTTGTTGGGTAGGAGATACTGAGCTTTACAAAAATTTGATGCAGCAAAGTTCTTCTTCCCCCAGAATGTTTGTTTGTTAATGCAGTTTGACAGTATGGTAGATACTGTGCTAGATAGGCACAGAAGGGTAGCCCAAGTTCAGGCTAACAAGCAGGAAGGCTTAGAAGCCGAAATCTCAGTGTCCCTTACTCTGGGTGGTCACATTGAATTCAGGGTCAAAAGTGGCAGAGATAAGGCTGACTATTAATAAAAACACTGATTAAAATAATACACTTAAAAACAGCCAAAGATAATTTTATTTCATTACTCAAAAATATTTTTCATATAATAATATAAAAATATTTAATATTCTAATTGTAGTTTTACATGATGCAAAAAGTTACAATGAAAAATTACCTGTTGCGTACAAGGGAGGCAACATAGATCCAAACAGATAAGACATTTTTGGGATATGGGTGGATATATACAGCCAAAGCAAATTCTACATTAGGAACATCAATATTATGCACCCCAGTGCTATACACGGCTTCAATTAAAGGCTTCACCTCAGAATAAGGCATGTGAAGAGGAAATCCCGAGAGCTGGGGGAAAGAACCCATTGTAGTCATTAGTGAGGCTTACAGATAACAAATTTTGCTCATGTAATCAATATAGTAAGTCTTTCTGGATTGCAAGGTCATTAGCTCTATTTTCTTTTTATGAGTATATTAGCGATGAAGAAAATGGAGAGAGGTTTATTCTGGTGTATAAAGCATCCTTCACGGTTCCCTTTCCCTGATAGCGTCAGAATGCATAAAAATTCAAGTCTTTCTGCAGACCTAGGTAAGCTAGTCACTCCACTCCACCCTGACCAACGAAATTACAGTGAGTGTCGGGAGTCTGGTAGGAGTAACAGCACACAGCTGCTCTGCTCTGAACAGTATGTGTGCAGATAGGTGTCTGCTCTGCTCTGGCATTTGCTTCTCAGAGTCAGGTCAGCCTGAGGACGGTGCCACGTGCAGGAGCGCAGAGCGGGGCTCAGGCCTGGTAGCTGCTCACAGATTTTCCGCTCGAGTCTGCTTAGGTTTGCAGTTAGTAAGTTGAAAACATTCTGAGAACCTGAGTTTTAAACTCCTGAGCCAACATGGATTACTGTCTTATCCAGATGCCTCTAGGTTTTATTCTATATAGTTGTAAGAACACAGCGCACTAGCAATGCACAATAGGGAGGATATGTTGTCTACTGATGAGAAATTTTCTTGGTGAATAGTATTGTTAAACCTTATCTTTTCACTTTTATGTACAGTTCAGTCTTATGTGATATAGCTAGCGACTATCAGTTTAATGGTACTTTGGGCTGTATTTCATAAAGGGTATTAACATTTCATAAGGTCCTTTTAGAAAAAATGGATTTTATTTCTATTTTTGTCAGTTGTATGGCTTAAACTCAGAGCCTGGGCACTGACCCTGAGCTTTTTAGCTCAGCTCCATTTCTGGTTTTCTGGTGATTAACTGGAGATAAGAATCTCATAGACTTTCCTGCCCTTCCTAGCTTTGAACTGTGATCCTTAGATTATAGACTCCTGAGTAGCTAGATTTAGAAGCATGGACCACTAGCTCTTAGGGGGATTTTCATTTTATAGAGGTTTTTTGTTATTTAATGATAGGCTATTTACTAAGGCTTTGAAAAAAATCACACCTTTTAGTCTATGCTGTATATATTTTGATTCCCAAGACCACTTAATGGGTAATTGAAACTTACCCCATTAGAAATGGGTGTGTGCAGAGTCAATTTGAGCCATCATGCTTACCCTGTAGTCTCCTAGCTGTTTGAGTAGTTCTGCTTGGTGGTCATCTTCCACATCTTCTCCTTGACTGCTTTCCAGAAGAGGCAGGAAGTGACGCAGAGTGGAGGTACAGTACCTGTTCCACCGAGTCAGATAGCGTGGCCGCCAGTCCATGATTTTTTCTTTTAGAATTTTTTCAATCCTGTTTATGGGAGAGACTCCATTTCTTGGTGACTTGACTTTACTCATGTAGTGGGGGCTAGGTGATTACATGACTACATTTTTGTTGGTGATGTCATTCATTAGGCAAATTCATAACTAATATGGGTTACTTTCTGGGAATTGAAAAGTTACGAGTGTTCCTTACGGATTCTGTATTTGTTGGAATGGGACATAAACCTATGAATAGAAATGATATTCTGAGGCCAATAATACATTCTTGAAAATAACCCAGAAAAAGCTAGCCTGGATGACCAGAGACTAGCTAACTTCAATACATTTAGCAAGGTAGCTTATAAAAATATTTTATTTACTGGTGACATAAAACTAGACCAATGCTTATGTTGGGAGCCTCAAATGCTTGTTAGGCTTATTCCACATGACTGATTTTCTTCTCCAGTGGTGTTTATTCATGATTATAGAACTTATTTTCTAAATTGCCTAAAACTGCTATAATTTAATATTTAATTTGTATAGGTATTGAGGGGTCATAGGATCTGAAGCTTACACACAGAATGAAGGAAAATAGCTATTACTTTGTAAAGGTACTGGAATAAATCTTTGCATCCATTGCTATTGAATCCCAACAATGACCTCATGAGATAGGGGATACTGATTTTACAGATTTAAGGAGAGGTGGAGGTAGAGAAATGAACTGAGAAAGGCAAAAGAGCTGGGATCCAAGTAGAAAGACGATTGATGCTGAATACTTCTGTCTATCTAACTTACTGCACCAATTGAGATATTTGGTCAACTTTCCATTGGACCCTGAACACATCTTTATTTGGGGTTTCAGAATGGCCTAAGCAAGAAAGATCAATTGCCAAACACTTGAACACTGGAGGAATAGATGACTGGCTCCTAATCAATAGTATGGTGAAATGATCAGGAGAAATACTGGGTTTATAGAAATTCATTATTCATATGAATTGCAGCCTTTATGGAGAACTTGGAAGTAAATAGGTGTTTCCTAGTAATAATGTCTTTAAAACAATCACAGTGAATCACATGTAATATGATACATTCCTCAAGTAGCATAATCCAATAGAAACCACACACTGGCTCTGAAATTCAAAAGATCTCTGTAGTCTCAGACATCCCTCCCACTTAGCACTTAAAAGACAGCCTACATCTCAGTCTCCACATTTGTGAAACTGGGAGAATACGTCCTAATTTTCCAAGACTAGAGAAATTACAGAGATTCACAAAGGCTGTCACTGGCCTCCTGGACTAGGTTCATAAACTGGTTAGTGTTCCACAAACCACTAATTGGACAGAAGAAGCATATTTAAGCTGTGGATTATGATGTGTCCCAACAAGACCCATAATTGCATGATTTTCAGCTCTAAACGGAGGTAAAGTCTTTGGAGGACAACATATTCCTTGTGTTCACCTCTGTGTCCTTCCCATCCCTTGTGCTGCTGCTAAGGCCTCTGTTGAACCACAGGATTTAGAGATCACATCCGAACTTGATATCTTCAGATGTGAATTAACATTAAATTGCCCTAATTATTTCATATTGATCCAAGCTGAGAACTGTTTAAAGTTCGGTCTTACACTGCTAGTGAGGGATTACTTGTGGATTTGTGGATTTTTATCATGTTACCTGTCTTGTAGCTCAGCAGCAGCTGCTTTGTCTGTGCGTTGATAAATTAGCTCTTCAGGCTGTAAAAGAGGAAATTGTTCAGACAATATTGTATTATATACCATAATCCATCATTCCAATTTTTAATGCTATTTAAAAAAATGTTTTGGTGCATTTTGGGCTTGAATTCAGTGCTTTGGCGTTGTCTATGAGCTTTTGGGCTCAAAGCTAGCGCTTTACCATTTGAGCTACAACTTCACTTTCAGCTTTTTGGTGCTTAATTGGAGTGTCACAGACTTTTCTGCCCAGGCTAGCTTTGAACCATGATCCTCAGAGCTGACCCTCCTGAATAACTAGGATTACAGGTGTGAGCCCCACCACTGCCACCTTGCCCCTAATGCTATTTTCAAACCATGGTCTTAAGAAAAATAGTTTTGTGTATATCACAACTTCTCTACGACAGTTGATTTTCAAAGCTTTTTTGAGAAGTATGTGCTCAGTTAAAAATACTTTGTATTTTATATATACATTTATATACTTTATATATCTATATATATCTATATATATACTTATATATAAGCATTTAGCTATCAAGTAAAGTGAAAATTTTAATAAAAAAGCTATGCTTACTACGTACAGTCTACTTCTGGTTAGGAGGAGTCTAATTTTATGTTTTAGTGGATTGTAATTTAGTGAATGAGGTCCTAAAATATAGTTTTGTTTTAATATTTGTTGGTTGTGGGGCTTGAATGCAGGGCTGGGGCTCTGTCCCTGAGCTCTTCAGCTCAAGGCTAGTGCTCTGCCACTTTAAGCCACAGCTTCAATTGTTTTTTGAGTGGTTAATTGGAGATGATAGTCTCATGGGGACCTTTTTCTGCCCAGTCTGGCTTCAAACCTCAACTCTCAGATCTCACCCTCCTGAGTAGCTAGGATTACAGGCGTGAGCCACTGGCTCCCAGCTCTGTTTTAAATTTTTTTAATGCTTGCTCATCCAATTCACTGTTATTCTCAGCTGAATTATTTAAATTGCCTCCAGTTGAAGACCTCACAACTTGTCTTTAATTCTATTTTGTCTAGACCCAAAACAGCAAAGAAAACTCCCATTAAAATGGAAGGCAAATTATGTCTCTCCTCTGCTCAAAGCACTCCAGTTGTTTCCTTGTTTACCTAAGAATCAAAGATACATTTAAAATGTATGTACTAGCGCGGGCTCTCTTTCTCCCTCCCTCCCCCCACCCTCCCTCTCTTATATGTAAATTTGCTTTTGGTGAGAATCAAGTAAGTTTGAAAAACACTATTCTAAATATTTAGTAGTAGAATTGAGAGTCAAGAAATACCTAATTACTTAATAGAAGAATACCATATCCCCTACTTTATGTTTAATTGTTAATAAAGCAATTATACCTGAACACTGGAAAGGCCAGGATATGGAAGGCTTCTTGAAAAAAAAGATTTCCATAGCTTAGGCTTCGTGACATCAAAATTTATCCTTAGTGGTGAGTCATACTGTTGAATGTTAAACCAAACCTAAAAAAAGATGAAGCCATATTAGCATGTATGTATGATATCATCGAGGGAGGCGACAGAGAAAACAAGTGTGAACATGGGTTGCACACTAGGTCACTTATTTTGTAAACTTTGTGTTCATTCTACAATTGACATTTCATAGAACTGTCATTGACCAAATTTCCACATTTTTTGTCTTGAAGTTTGGGGAATCGTGTAGGTCTGATGAAATAGGCAGTTCTTGATTATAAGAAATGTTTTTAGGAAGACCATCAAGGCCCTGCCTTCCCTGTTCTTGCTCTTTGCATCCTCCTAATGGCGTTTTGGTCCAGTTCTTCATTCCCACAGCACTGTGCAGTGTCTGAGATGGCACTTGTCTGGTTGGGAACATGAGATACAATGACTCTAGGACTTGCATTTGAATTTGGGCTCTTACATTTACTGACTGTGACCTTGAATGATTCATTCAACTTCTGTGTGCTTCAGTTTCCTCTTCTATAAAACTGAGATTAAAAAATAGTAAGTACCATAAGGTTGAAAAAATTCAGCGAGCTTATAATGCATCTATATTTCCTAGAATGAGCTTTTATTATTACTACTTACCATTTTTTTTTTGTAATTGTCTACTCATCTGTGTCCTCACTGGACTATTGAATTATTGCCTGAGCACATTTACCATGTCTATTATTTATCATTTTAGTTTTAGCTTCTAGCGTAGCTCCTAGATTGTGGTAGTCACATTGCCACGCACAAATGGTAAATTTATCCACATAACACACTTAAACAAGCAATACGTATTTACTTAAGATATTTAATCAAGTACCTCCTCAGTTCTAATTCAGTGTGAAGTAGCCAATGGCGCCATCTCTATGGCTGAGTCATGAGATGACACAGCAGTCACCAAGTGAAGACATGGAATATCAGATGAGAGTGGATGCTATTCTAGGATGCAGTCCCAGACCCAGTCCTTCGCACCTTTCTGTCAGCATATGTTTCTTTTCCTTAGTTCTCAGTTCCTTCCACTAAAAGAGACAAAACATACTTCCCTCCCCCTTCACTTTTGGCCAGTAGACTGGGGTGAGTGCATTTGTTCAATCCATGAGCTTAAGTTTAAAAGGTTTGGTGTGTGCTCCTACTTGCACTTGACTTCCATTGTCGCCGCTCTGAGTCCCAGCATAAACACACGATGGCAGAATGGTCTTGGCCACCACTTAGTGCACCCAAGTTGCCCAGCCTTGATTAGCAACATAAAAATAAAAGGCCAAATAGTGAACTGAAATGGGTATTCTGTAGGTAGCTATGGTAATGTAGGATGAGGAAATAATGGAAGATACAGGATTAAAGGAGACGGAGGTAAGAGATGGGGAAATCAAAGACAATTTTGAAGTGCTCTGGCATAAATTAACTTCAGGAGCAACCCTAAAAAACAGGCCAGCTGCCTTGCAAATTAGGGTATAGACTCCAAGTATCAGATTTTATCATTATTTGTTACTTTTAAAAAGTATTTTATAGTCTACAAATATCTATGCACATGTAAGTATAATTTATAAATAAAAACATTGGCAACACATGCAAACACTTTTACTGACAGATACTCAAAAGTTGAGAGATTAGTAAGGTAAATGATGATTGTAAAACAGCCAGGAAGTGGAGTTGTTCATATGTGTTTGGCGCTTTTTTTTTTTTTTTTGCAATTACCCTTTTTATTTCTCACAGAAACTAAAGTGCTGGCTTGATAAAGCACTGACTTCACTATTACCTCCATTTTACCAGCGAAGAAAATGAGGGGATGACAGATTTGGAAACTTTTCCAGGCTTTCACTAGTACGTGATGAGTGAAGTGGGAGTTTTAGGCATTCTGACTCGTTCGCTTATGTTTTTTAGACAGTGCTTCATAGAATAGCTTTCACAGATCCAGACCTTGGAGCCATAATCATTTGAGGCTATAGAAGGCCAGATGGCATATGGAAACTTCCCGTAAAAATAAAGAAACTCAGTTTTTTCAGGTGATTAATTTTAGTTCTCAAAACACAAACTAGGCAATGGAAGCTCTATTTTAGAAGCAAACACCGAGGATTCAGAGGAACTCTGGTCCTCTGAATCAAGCTCTCTCTCTCTCTCTCTCATTCTCTCTCTCTCTCCTCTCTTCCCTCTCTCCACTTCATTTATTTTTAGATTTTTATTCTGATTCTGTGCAAATCAGCTAAATCATTCAGGTTTCTTTAGGATTATTTAGATGACTTGAGTCTGCCACTGTGCCTGCTATACATTTCTTTAATTGTTCTGTGAATACATGTGTAATTACGTTTACATAATTTTTGGCTATATATATTTTTTTGTCAGTCGTGGGACTTGAACTCTGGGCCTGGGTGCTGTCCCTTAGCTCTTCAGCTCAAGGCTAGTACTCTACCACTTGAGCCACAGCGCCACTTCTGGCTTTTTTTGCTTATGTGGTGCTAAGGAATTGAACTCAGGGCCTCATGAATGCAAGGCAGCACTCTATCACTGAGCCACCTTCCCAGCTACCTATATAAAATACTTAAGGCAGTTCATCAATTTAAAAACAAAATCAAGAAAACAATCATCAACCAAAAGAGTTTAAAAAGAAATGTCATTACTCACATTATCTGGGCCAATTAAACAGCCCACACTTTTCAAGGGACAGAATGTATCAAATTGCCCATAAAAATGTCCACTGCAGGGATTCCATATTAAATAATGATTTTTCTCCCAAGTTAGCACATAGGCTGTTGGACCCTAAAGGGAAAATCCATTGAAAACAGTATTCAATTAATTAGGCAATTAGGATCAATAGTAGGTTGCATGAATTATTCATTATTTTTGTTGGACTTCTGACTTCTAAGATCCCACACTGAAACTTAGAAGTTCTTGAAAAATGAAATCATAACACACTTTCCTGCCCTCTCCCCCATCTTGCATCTGTTACTGCTGCAATGTTGACTAAATAAATATAGGGGTAACTTTTCCTGTCCAGCATTTCTTAAAATTTGCTGAGGAATGTATGTGTGTGTGCGTGTGTGTGTGTGCTTGAACTCAGGGCCTTGAGCTCTGCTTAGCTTTTTCACTCAAGGCTTGAGCCACTTCCACTTCTGGCTTTTTGCTGATTGGAGATAAGTTGGAAATAAGTCTCCTGGGACTTTCCTGCCTGGGCTGGCTTTGAACCCCAGATCTTGGCCTCCTCAGTAGCTAAATAAAGGTTTTGGATGGTACAGGGTCCAGGTTTACCAAAAAAACAAAAACAAAAACAAAACCCAACCTAAAATGCTGTTGTTAACCCATCACATGTCTGTGGGCTATTTTTCAAACACCCCAAAGGACTGTGATGAAGGAAGTCCTGTCCACGGCCTGGTCTGTACTGTGGATGAAACAGCTCTGCCCCTCTGCCAAAGACACTTGTGTTGTCTTACCTCAGGAATAGCACTGCCCATCAGTAGCCAGGCCTTCTTACCCAGCCACAGAAAGTAATTGCACAGCAATACCGCATGCTCTTCTTCATCTCCTGCCAGGAGATCAAGAAATTGCTGATGGGAAAAAAAAAAGGAAATGTTTCATTGAACAATTGCTTATTTTAGATTGACCATGAAAGATTTTCTTCGTGTGTGTAGAAAAAAACAATTTTTTTTTCAGTCCTGGGAATGGAGCCCAGGGCCTTGCGTGCCATATAGAAGGCAAGTGCTTAGCCATGCAGTTACATTCCCAGTCTATATTATTATTAATTATTATTTCTAATTCCTGAAATTTGGGGAAAGTTGAGCTAGGAAAAAAAATCAAAATTTAGCTCATCCTGTTAAAACAGATGGCCAAGTTGATTATTAGGATGACTAATAAATGCTGCAATTTCAGATTATGCATAATTCAGCTGAAGTCAGTAACTCTGAGAGGAAGACTTACGTCAGAGGTGCTCCATAGGTCACAGATACCAGCAAATGAAACAGTGTCAGGCAAGAAAGGAATCAAGGACACGTATCGAGCCACCAGTTCCTGTGTAAACCAAATTAGTTTTCAAAAATAATCAGTAGTGTATGTGTGTGCATACCAGTTTGCTAATTTTCTCTATATCTAACTACTTAACTTACATTTAACTGTATTTAAGGACTCACTGATTTCCTTTGCTTAATTTCTGATTATGATTATATCTTCTACTAATGCAAATTCCACTTGGTACTTGAAAAAAAAACCTTATCAATTTCTACAGTTGATTGCTCACTAATACTTTCAGTATCCTGGATTCCCAAACTTATTAAATATATCTATTTTGTAATCTGTACCTGATCGTGAGTTACTCCCTGAGACAATAAGGACTATCATCATCCTTGTTACCCTCAGGCTTTTTTTTTGTTGTTGTTGGTTGCCGGACTTGACCTCTGGGCCTGAGTGCTGTCCTTGAGCTCTTTAGCTCAAGGCTAGCGCTCTACCACTTGAGCTATAGCACCACTTCCAGTTTTCTGTTGGTTAACTGGAGATAAGAGTCTCACAGTTTTTCCTGCCCGGGCTGGCATTGAACTGTGATCCTCAGATCTCAGCCTCCTGAGTAGCTAGAATTACAGGTGTGAGCCACTGGCGTCCAGCTTGCTTCAGACTTTTCTAATGGAAACCCCATGCTAAAAATAGGTTTAATTATTAGTGATCTTGATATAGTTAATATCCTAAGTGTTATGACACATAGTAAATCAGCAATTTATTGAAAATTTAAAACATTTTCAAATATCACTATTTGGCTTCAGTCTTCCAGCACCGATTATCTATGAACACTTACTGCAGTTGCCTGTTGATTATCGGGGTAGAAGTTCAGGAGCTCCTGGGGAGGGTTTAAAGGTTTGAGATAACGTGTAATAAAAACTGTTTTTCCACTTATGTCAATTACTGTTGTAAGGCATCGACGATTTGGAAACTTCAAGGCACATTCAGCTTGAAATTTTTCTGTTGCTTGAAGTAATTTCTCATCTTCCTGAGACTCAAACTTCAAAAAGAAACATTCAGGGAGTTTATATGACTCTGGGAGATAAAATGGCCCACGCTCAGCTCCCACAGCTAACACGTACTAAATACATGGCTTGGAAAGTATGTTTCAGTGATTCTTTTTTGCTGTTTTGTTTTTGTTTTTTGATGGTTGAGGGGCTTGAACTCAGGGCCTGGGTGCTGTTCTTGAGCTTTTTTGCTGAAGGCTAGGACTCTACCGCTTTGAGCCACAGCACCACTTCTGGTGTTCTGGTGGTTAACTGGAGATAAGAGTCTCATGGACTTTCCTGCCTGGGCTGACTTTGAAATGCAATCCTCATATCTCAGCCTCCTGAGTAGCTAGGATTACAGATGTGAGCCACCAGTGTCCGGCTTTTATTAAGTTACTCTTATCAAAACCATCATGCCTTGGTGTCCTTCGACATTATTTAATTACATTTATAATTTAGAAGTTATTTTGACTCATTATATGCTAATATACATTCCATAAGACTTAAGGTGAAGAGACAAGCTGTCATGTGTAAACTATTAAATTAATAAAGTGATCGATTAAAAAAAATCAAACAATGGATACAAATTCTGATCGATGAACCCAAGGACTAGAGTTTTTTTTAATGTATACGTTAGTGTTGGCTTTAAGAAAAGGGCCCAGAAATCCGACAGGGTGAGAGCTTCTGTGTTCTGGAGTCTTCTGGTATGACTCAGTGATGTTTTCAGGACAGTAGCTTTAGGATGTCAAGGTGTTGTCAGTCAACATGCCTTGTCTCATAGCTAAACAATAGAAGCCCTCCTTTTGCGTCCTGTAGCCGGATCAGGACACAGCAATGACCCCAAAGGCAGCAGCTGGCTGTCTGGTGAACAGCCATTGTGAAGGACCAGAGGCTCCGCGGGGGGCGTCCAGGAAGTCAGCTACAGTAGGCATGAGGCCGTGTGCACAGGCCTCAGCCACACCCTGCTTCTATCCTCTCTTCTTTCCCTTCTTGAGATCATGTTGTAACCCACTCCGGTCCCTGTGGCCTAGCCTGAGAGCCTTTTTCTGTGTGAACATGCTTGCTTGGTTTTCTCTTGAGTTTACACAGAAAGACAAGTATTTTCTTTATGGAAAATAATTTGAAATGCATGGATTAGTTTTCTTGAGAAGCTTGACTTGTAGTGACAAAGCCCAAGATCTAGGATTCGTTTGGATTCTAGCACATTGGTTTTACCAGGAAGCCTGCCTATCCTGTCCATGTCTTGATAATGGGATATTAACAACATTTTATGTTTATTTTGCTGGTCCTGGGGCTTGAACTCAGGGCGTGGGCACTGTCCCTGAGCTGCTTCTGCCCAAGTGCTCTACCACGTGAGCCACACCAACGCTTCTAGCCTTTTCTGAGTAGTTTATTGGAGATGAGAATCTCAGGGACTCTCCTAACCAAGCCACCCTTGAACTCCAGTCCTTAGATCTCAGCCTCCTGAGTAGCTAGGATTACAGGCATGATCCACTGGCATCAGTTTAAATAGTATTTCTCTCTGGGAACCAAATCATAATACTGGAAAGGAAATGGAAGCAGCTTTTTTTTTTCATCTCCATTGGTATCTTAATTACAATGGAACACTAAAAACTAATAAACTTGCAAACAGCACAATGCACTGTGCACAATAACTTGCCATTTAACAACTTGCTCTTATGCATGAATGTAAGTTTGGGAAGAATCTCTACCTACTCTCTATCTCCAGTGCTAAAATATGTCATATACTGGTTGTTCAGGAATATCTACAATGTAGAATTATGTAGATAGGTATAACCTCTGCCATATACTACCTCTGGCTAAATCGAGCCTTACTTTCCTCATCTGTAAGTTGGAGACCTACTGTTTAACACATCTGTATTGAAGAATTACATACACCCAGTGTCTGACAGTGCTGGGGATAGAGTAAGGTCTCAAACCCTGGTGGTGGGGATGTTACAGTTAATGTATTAATTTACATATAAGTGAAGGTCACAATACTCTCTCTCAGCTCCAGCAAGTGCAGTGGGCATAAATGCTGACCTCCAATTCTACATTCATAAAGGTGTCCCAATAATGAAGGTTGGGGAACACTTGTCAACAAATGGCAGATCTGGAAATTCATGCTCCCTGGAGCTGTTTAAAAGAGTAATTGTGTATGCACTTGTTTCTTTTTGTAGAAATGAATTTTGGTGACCTATGAATGAAGGTCATCCAGCTTTATGATCCTAAGAACTGACTCAGTGTGTAGCATAGCCAAGATGTGAAGGGAATCTATTTCAGCACACTTGCAGATGAATGTGTCATAAAAGAGGAATCCAACCTCATAATATGTCAACATTAATTTTCACCGACTTAACAAAATTCATCTAAAACCAGAGCATGTTTATAGTCATCTGTCTTTACGTAAAAGTGTAGGTTACTGACTGACCCAACTATTGGCTCAGGGAAGTTCAAGGGCACACATCTGCCCTCCTACCAGCATCCTGGCCTAGCTGAAAGAACAATAGAGATGAAAGGAGGACATCCTTTTATCACAGCAGCATCAGACATGGCTTTCCAAACCCTACACGCTTACCTTTTCTCGAACTGACTCTCCTGGGACCAGCTGGGGCTCAATAGTAATGAACAGGGTGATGTAGGAGCCATCACTCAGGCTGCGGACAGCATCAAAGCCTCTCTCCATGAACATGTTTCTCTCTTTGCTGTAGCCCAGGAGAACTGGAGGAATGTCTATTTTAAATGTGCCATCAACCTGTGAAGAAAATATGGTTTGACAAATATTCTGATGACTTTCCAACAGATGTTCAAAGGCAAGCGTCAACTCCTTGTTACCTAATTAACATGCTAAAATAAAAAATAATACTTCACGCTGGCAGTCAAAGCTTACCCCAGGCTTGATCCCTGAAACTGTCACGGTTCCTTCTTTTCTTTACTTAGCAGAAAAATGTGCCCAACAGTCAGGCTGCCTAGGTTCAAATCCTGTTTTAAGTTTCAAGTGTCTCAGAGTCCTCATTTATAAAAAGGAGAATGTAATAGGACCCATTTTCTAGGACTGTTACAATGAATAAATGGATGAATGAATGAATGGAGAGAGGTATAAAACTAAGAACAGTGTCTGGTATATGATAACTATGCAGTAAATACTGGCTGAAGTCTTTCCCCTTTTCTACAAAGTCTAGCTTTCCTTTTCTACCTTTCAGATTCTCCATAATTTTTCAAGGCTTAATCTAGTGTCAGTTCTCCTGTGAACGATTTTACTGTCTCTCTCCCTTCACATGTTGTTTCTCTCGTTTGTGGAATTAACAGACCTGCCTGGCTTGATCATCATATGCATTTGTCCTGTCCTTCTAGATGATAACTCTGCGAGTAGAATCTGCATGTCACCTCCTTTTATGTTACCTTTCTGTGACATAGAACAGTGTTTTGAATCCACAGTAGGCCCTCAATAAACTCAGGCTGAGTAAATGACAATCCACTTGTATAAAAAGGAATAACATGTAGAAGCTTCAAAAGGGCAGAATGTTTTTAACTCGTGTAAAGTCAAAGCAAATATCAAGCTATTCAGGGCTGCGGTGTGGGAATTTAAGATGGGTTTCTGAATATGGGTGTGGTTGATAATAGGGGCCAGATAAACTGTGGTCCGAGACTGTCCCGTGTATGCATGCTTGACACATTCTTAGCCTCTCTGTGCAAGATGCCAGTTGCCATGCCCACTAGCTTAGCAACCAAAAATGTCTTCAGCCAGTGCCAAATATTCCCTGTGGGTACATTTCAAGTCACGGGCTTTGCAGTCAGACAAAACTGTTTTAAAGGACAAATGTAATGAGGTCATTCTCTAAAGATGTGTTGAAACATATAAACCATAAAAGCAGAATCACTTTTTTCTGCTTTTACCAATCCTGTTCTCCAGGGATAAGCAATGTCAGTCTGTTGAGAACAGGTCAAAGTTAAACCCTAGCTTTGTGATTTGAACAAGACATGTAATTCTCTAGGCTTCTATGTTGTCATCTTTTAAAGTGGGGTTAATGATGCCAGGTGTTTTATGAGGTTTCATTAATGTGACAAACCTTCTAGAAATGGTATGTAATATGTACCCAACGAAGTCTTAGTTATTATTAATCAGTCAGATTATATTAGCTTCAAGAAGTCCCAGAGAACTGACCTAGGAATGGAGATAATGGCATAGTTCAAGGAAGAACTTTATGACAAACTAGCTCCTGCGGTAGTGAGCTCCGGATAGAGCACAGACGTGGCAAGGCAGAGAAGAGGAGGACCTTTTATCAGGGTTATTATTTCTGAGTGCCTTCCAAATGTGAAATCCAGAAATGTCAAATATTATGGGCAATTTGATTGGTAAAGTCATGTGCTCTTTTTTTTTCAAATCATTTAAATTCTATCCAGAGTGGTAAATGTCTATTGTTTTAGTGGGCACACCATTGGAGCATAACTATAGACTCTCATTTGCCTGGGGATGATTACAATTACAGTTGATTCTTTTGTGTGTGTGTGTCTCCTGGGCTTGAACTCAGAACTTGGGTGCTGAGCTTTTCAGCTCAAAGCTGGTACTCTACCACTTGAGCCACAGTTCCATTTCCAGCTTTTTGGTGATTATTTAGAGGAAAGAGCCTCATAGCTTTCCTGTGCAGGCTGATTTTGAATGACAACCCTCAGATCTCAGCTTTGTTAGTAGTTAAATTACAGGCATGAGCCACTGGCACCTGGCTAGTTTCTTGAGACCCTAAACAAGCTTTGCTAATGGCCTTGATAGAGACTGTGGCCAGGCAGCATTTACTCAGTGTGATCGTCACAGAGGCTCAGGGGTTCCTGTTGCCATGGATTTAATTCTGGGATGCTCAAGAGATTTAGAATCTTTAACTGTCCCAGATTAAAGCTAATAAGTCCTTCAAGAGCTGTCAACCTCATAGATGCTCTGAAGCAAAATGGAACTCTAAAGAAAAATGTCTTTGTCAAGCATGTCTGTGCTAATGATTTCTCATGGTTTAAATAGTATTTATTTTTGGAACTATGAATAGAATGCTCTTGATTAAATGGGCCATCAATTGTCCTGATTACCTTCTTCAAGTTACTCTTCAAGTTACATCTCTCTATTCCATTTGTTATTTTGACAGATTTTGACTTTTTCTCACCTTTATCACTTCTATTTAAATGTTTTAAACAACTCATCAGAAAGGCAAAAGTTGAATTTTCCCTCATAGGTGGAAGCTAGAATTAGCTTATGAGCATACAAGTAGATCTGTTGGGTGGTACACAAGTATATACACTTGTGTTAATGGAACTGTGGTAGATTCAAGGGAAAACTCAAATAGTGTAATTCCTTAGAGAGGCAAAATCAAAGTTCAGCAAAATAAAACACCAGGAAATGGGTAGTTGAAAAGGGGCGGGATCAAGGGGCGAATGGTAGACAATGAAGAAGAGAAGGCTGGGAAAATACAGTGAAGAAGTCAATGTACATCCTAAAAATTTAAGAAGATTGAGGGAAGGGGTGTCGGGGAGAGATGGGTAGGAATATTAAAAGGGGTGACATTGATCAAGGCACATTATGTTTATAAACTGCTTTGTTTTAGGGCAACTCCTTTGCATAACTACTTAAAGATAATTAAAAAAAATAAAACAACTGTCAAACTTGAGGGGCTTGGTGGGGTTGGAAGAGCTTAGGGGAGAATGATAGAAGGGGTGATACTGATCAAGATATACTGTATTTGTCAATTGACATGTTGAATTGTACAGCTATTTAAAGATAATAAAAATTATTTTAAACATTTCAGATTATACCAGTCATAGAGTAACTATTAACTCAAAGGCACACACATGTTTAATAAGCCCATGTCAGTAGAATGTAAGATCAGTGACATTATGTGTCGTGCCTTTTATCTTTCCAAGGGCTTTGTACATGCCTTCTCTCAGTATTGAGATGCTAACAGGAATAAACATGGAGAAAGCTGTTCCCCATTCTCACAGAATGCTGCCTTTACTTACCCTTGCTTGGAAATAGATGGTGCTAAATGGAATCTTCACACATCCTAACCAGTGTCTCTCGATACGGGTATGGATTCCACTTCCTCTTTCACGGTCATCCTAAAGGAAGTGTGGGAAGGAATGCTGCTTCAATAACTCCAGACACATATTTATTAATGTGACAGTAAGAAAGTAGCAGGATTTTAGCTGAAAGCATGTGGACTTAGGTTATACCAACCTAATCACATTCTAGATCAGATGCTTAATATCTCTGTGACCCTTGGAAATACATTTGACTTCTCAATTTCAGTTTTTGGATCAATCAACAGGAGATTTCGCAGTCTGTTTCACAAGGTTATTTTAGAATTAAATGAGAAAATATATAAAAAGCAGCTGGGTGCCAGGACCTCTTGCCTGTAATTCTAGTTACTCAGGAGCCTGAGATCTGAGGATTGCAGTTTGAAGCCAGCCTGGGCAGGAAATTCTGTGAGACTTTTAACTCTAACCACCAAAAAGCCAGAAGCAGAGCTGTGGCTCAAGTGGTACAGTATTAGTCTTGAGCAAAAGGAGCTCAGGGATAGCGCCTAGGCCCAAAGTTCAAACCCTAGGACCAGCCCCTCCTCCCACCCCCCAAAAAAGCAAAGCAGCTGGTATAATTCTTAGAACAGAGTAAACACTTTCCTGAATATGAAAAAGCCAGTTCTCTCCCCCTTCTGTTTGAAAGGTTTGAAATAGATCAAGTTTGAAACATTCCAAAAACAAGAAAAATGAAAAATGTGCTAGGGACTTGGCTGTGAAATGAGTGCCAACATCTTCCTTAAAACGAAGCACTTACCTCTAAGATGTCATACACTACTTCATCGAAAATGTTGATGTATACATCGTCTTTCACTGACTGTAGACTGGCTGTGCTGTAATCCCCATTAGGAGCCCTGCAAAATCACATCAAACCAGAGACCATGAGAACAGACAGGTAAAACAGGAATTCTCAGCACTCAGAACATCAACATGTGAAAAATACCCGAGTAGGAGCATAGCTGTAAGAGTTAAAAGCCAGGCCTCCACTCCAAGATTTGTCTTATACAAGGTCAGGCTGATAGGGTGATATAATGCTTATCTCCAAGGGAGGGAGCACTGGACCACGTGCTCTGAGGATCAAACCATCCTACTCCCTTGACTTCTCTGATCCTCTGAGCTCTCCACAGATTCTGCTGCTGAGTTACCTACTCTGCCCTATGGTCAGCTTTACATGGAACCAGTTCACCAGGACCAAGATGGCTCTGGGGACAGCTAACGGTTGCCAGCTAATGCAGTTATAGACTTCCAACGCCATGTCCCCAGCATGCCCAGCTAGTCCAGAGGTTGTCCTGGGTCTGGTCCTGCTGCTCACCCTATTTCTCATAGACGTGTGAAGCTGTCCAGAGGTAAGAATTCTTTCCTGACCCATGACCCACTTGGGCCCCATCCAGGTCAGCCTGAGCTTGCCTGTCCATCGCAGGGCTGGAGATGCGGTGCCACGTGTTTTTAGCATATTTCTGTACATTTCCTTGTGTTTTTTCTTTGCTGTTGTTGGTTTCATGTGTAACCGTAGTAACTGTCCCCCTCTTCTGACTTAACTAGTTTGAATCCCTGATCTGTCTCTAATTTACTATGTAGCGTTAAGTAAGTCACCTTCTTTCTAAGTGTTTTCATTTCTTCTTTATAGTGGGTTAACTGGACATATGGCTCAAGTGGTAGAATGACAGCCTAGCTAAGTATGAGGCTGAGTTCTCATCCATGTATTGCCAAGAGAAAAAAAGTAGAGAGATTAGATAAGGCCGATTCAAGTTCTCAATTAATGAAAATCTTTACCACAGTTCTGGAATGCTTGTGTGTGTCCCTGGCAAAGGAGAAAGGTCACTTATGGGAATTGGAGTTTGAAATATGCTGCAGGAGAGGGCAGAAGGAAGAAAGGAAAAGCAGGGTGGTGCCAGTGGGCTGTAAGAAGTCAGAGCCTGGAGGGAGTGGAGTTTCCTAATAGAGTTCCAGTTTTATTCGTGGACAGTCAGCTGGTAGGGAAAGAGCAGAAACATGGGACTTGCTTGGTGTCAGGATACTTGGATCTTATCCCAGTTCCTTAGTTAAAAACGTCTCAGACATTTCTTACTGAGTCTGTTTCCTTCACAGTGTTTCAAAATATCTCCTATAATTCTCCTTCTTCTTCATTTTTAGAGAGGACACTGGGGTTTGAACTCAAGGCTTTTGTGTTTGCATGATAGGTACTCTGCCTCTTGAGCCATGCTTCCACCCGTTTTAATTCTTGATATTTTTTTTTTTGGTCATGGGTCTTGAACTCGGGGCCCGGGCACTGGTCCCTGAGCTCTTCAGCTCAAGGTAAATGCTCTACCACTTGAGCCATAGCAACACTTCCAGTTTTCTGGTGGTTAAATGAAGATAAGTCTCATGGGCTTTCCTTGCCCAGGCTGACTACTCTTGCTATTCATGCCTAGGTTGGCCTAGACTGCAATCCTCCTAGGTGACATTATGCCAAATTATTGGTTGAGATGGGGCAGGGGGTATTTCATAAATGTTATGCCTGAGGTGGCCTCAAACCACAATCCTTCCTACTTTTGTCTCTTGGGTAGTACTGTAGTTCTTTTTGTTTTTGTTGTTGTTGTTGTGGTCAGGGGCTGGGTGCTGTCCCTGAGCTTTTTTTGCACAAGGCTAGCCCACTACCACTCTACCACTTTAAGACACAGCTTTGCTTTCTGTTATCTGGTGGTTAATTGAGGATAAAAGTCTTTTGGACTTTCCTGCCCAGCCTGGCTTTGAACTGCAATCCTCAGATCTCAGCCTCCCGAGTAGCTAGGATGACAGGTGTGAGCCCCATTGCTCGGCTTAGTACTGTCATTCTTTAAAGGAGAATATATGTTTACCTAAATGGAAGTTCAAGTTCTTCATTCCAACTAGGATTTGGTCCTTCAGCTGTGGTTGTGTGACAAATTGTTCGTTGGAAAGAAACTTCTACAAAGGGACGTACTAACACCTTAAAAATCAAGAACAAATTCCGAAGTCCATCATCATTAGTTTGAATTATTTTGTTCTTAGCAGTATGTTACCAAAGGGTGAAGCAGAAAGAAAGACTGTCTAGAAGTATAAAATACGTGGAGCAGTGTGTAAGGCTTGGAAGCCAGGTTCCAGAGGCTCACCTGGCTCAGGGGGAAGTCAGCGCTGGGTGTCGGGCTGTGTGGACTAGGGGATGTTACATGCTTTTCACTGAAAGTCCTCGAAGATCTTGATGGCTGCTGGAACTTGCTAGAAGGGAAAGCGTGTGGTAGAAATTAATGACAAGGAAAGTCTACCTATAGAAATGATGGCTTTCATTTTCAAAGATGTATGGCCCTGGGCTGTACTGAGATGCCCTCCATTAGCTTGTTGACATTTCAGGAGACTTTCAGTGTGCTCTGGTCCCCCCCTCATTACCAAGTGATTGCCAGAACATTCTCCAGCTTCCATTCTTCAGGTCTGCTTGTGTGGCTGAGAACAGAACAGAAAAGGCTCTCTCCTTCACTCTCCTTCAATCGCCTGAGTGGGAGACTTGTCTTTCCCTCAGCCATGTGAGCCTCCATCCTTCTCAGGTAACAGAATCTTGACAAGCAGCTCATCTCAGTTCTCTGCCACTGTATTTGCTTTGAAGTAAATACGGTCGCTCTCCAATGGACCTTCCCCCCGCCCCCTCCCCCGCCCCCGTCATCTACCCCAGACACAGCATCTCTTTCTCTGGGCCTGCTGAACTTCATGGGGAAGAAGAGCCTGGGGAATTTTACGAGTTGAGCTTTACGAGTGAGTTGTACCCCCAGCTCCCTTCTGCGCTGCAGTTCTTAAAGGAATAAGTGGAGGTTGTATCTAGAGAGCATCTTCTAAATGCCAGCCCCATCCTAACAACTAACTAGCTTGCATATTTGTGCTGAATTTTATAGCTTGCCAAATTCATTTGCATTCATTAACGGACAAAGAAACAAGTTGTTTCTTTCTACCAGATTTTCAGCTTTGAACAAAGTTTCAGACAGATCATGAGACAATATGAATAAGACATGTAACACAACAACTACCAGAGAAAATCCTTTTCTTTTGGGAAAAGTAACAATTACATTATTTTAAAAACAAAACACAGAAAAACATGTGTTAGGCCAGGCACTGGCAGCTCACCTCTGTAATTCTAGCTAGATAGAAACAGCTCTTTCTAGCTAGCTAGCTGTACATCTATCTATATGATCTCTATAGAATACATGTATTTTCCCTAGATAATATATATATCCTGTATAGAGTCTATTCTATATTCTCTCTCTATATTTATTCCATAGAGACCAATCAGTTTTTCATCCCAGAGTCCAGCTTTGAGACACCAAACCTCCAAAGGTTTCAGGGCTTAAGGGGACACTTACAAGTAGAAAAGCATTGAGAATAGTTGGAACCAATGGATGTTTTGTAATAGGTTGAAAATTAGTCACTAAAGAAAAACAGAGCAAAATGATGGGGACAGAGGAATGGAGAGCTAGTGTAGAGGAACATAGGGAAAGAAGATGATGCCAAAGGCTACCATGATGCTCTTTGAATCCAGATAGTGGCTGACCTTGGTCAAGATACAACCTTTCCACTCCTACTTTTCCTTGGCAAAATGGACATCATAGTGGAATTAGTAGGAGTGATGATATAACATATGCAAATGTACTACCATAGTTTGTACAAGTTGAATGCACAACAAATTCCATATTACTCTGTTACACTGTTAGCAGAAAGCATTGTCATTCTTGGTCCTACTATGCCTTTCTGAAGGCATGAGATACTCAAGATTTATCTCACTTGTGGTTAAGAGCTCCATACTGGCCCCAGGATAGTAAGCCATACTAGCCATAGCTTCTGACAAGTAACGCTTAGTAGTGCCCTAGCTATATGGACTACTTCTACCACATTAAAAAGAAGAAGCAAATTCAGGGGGAGGCAGGTGAGAGGGATGTTGGGGCCGCAGAAAACTGTCTTAGCCCTTTTAATACACTGTGTAGTTCAGCTCTACCTTCCTGGCCTTGAAACCCTCTTGGAGATGTTCCCAATACTGAATTGACTCTATCACTTGCAAACAATAAGTAGGACCTTGGCTTCAGTGAGGTCCTCCAGGCCCCGCTGCCTAAAACTGACGTGAAGAATGAGCATCCTGACTCATTGTCTGGGACCCTGCGCACACCGTCCCAGGGTTGTGTGGGAGCTCTCACCTGGCCGTTGGCTTTCTCACTGGAATGTCGTAAGCCCGGACAATGTTCACCAGCAGTTTTATGTCCCCATCAGACAGGTTCTGGGCTGTCACCTTCTTCCGACCCTTTCTCCTTGGCCTCAGTGGTCGCTTTTGTTCTGCCAGCTTGAAAAGGCTCGTGCCCAAAATGCTAATGATTACAGAGCCAGATTAGGGTCCAGTTCGAAGTACACATTCAGAAAATTATGAGATGACCTTCCAAAATGTCCCAGGAATACAGCCCCCCCCAAGCTCTCCTTTTTATTAAATTACTATTTTTAGTTTTTTGAATATTCTCCTTTTAAACAGGGTAGAAATAGTCTCGAAATGAAGCTGATCCTATTGCCTGGGTTGTTAAGATGATTTTTTTTTTTGGTAGCTGCTTCTCATCAGAACAAGAAAAGCCATGTTCTGGTCCCTGCTGGCCTCCATTACCCTGCTCACCAACCAGCTCCTGAAACTGCTCTCCTCTTCACATCCAGACTCCTGCCAGACAGCTGAGATTTACCTTCTCCCAGGGACCTAGCCACATTGACTGGAAGGAACTCTCTCTGAGCCTCTCCAGAACTATTACCCTGATCAATTAATCAATTCTGTCTGTGTGTGTGTGTGTGTGTGTGTGTGTGCATGCGCTAGTACTAGGGTTTAAACTCAGGGCCATGATGCTCTCCCTTCGCTTTTTTGCATTTGAGCCACCGTTCTACTTCTAGATTTTGGCTGGATAATATAAGAGTCTCAAGGACTTTTCTGTCTCAACTGACTTTTACATGTAATCCTCAGATCTCAGACTATAGGCGTGAGACACCAGTGCCTGGTTATATAGTCTGATCATTTTTATTACAGTTGGTCACACAGTCTTCTCAGGCTGTTTGGAGATCTTGCTGGTGTCAGGTAGACCTGGGTGTGAATCCTGCCTCCATTCTTTGCCCTGGGGCAGCTTATTTTACTGCTTTAAGGCTGTTCATCGTCTATACATTGAGGATAATAATCCCAACCAACCTCTTGGGGTGACTGAGAGGATAAAGAGAGGAGTTTGAGCGCCCTGGTACTTAGGAGATGCCCTCAAGTGGTAACTGTTGTGATGATGACAGTTTCTGTATGACTACACTGGATGCGGTGCAAGGGACCTGGGGGAGGAGAACTCTCTCTCTGCCTTTCATTGACATGATTTGCTATAAACACTCATTGGAAGATGAAAGCAACAAGGCCAGTGACTCCACGGAGCAAATAAATTCTGGCCCAGAGATTAAATAGAAAGACAGATAGGACTTTGTCCCTGAAAGCAGAGATTGAAGACTATGCCAAAGAGCCACAGACTAAAGCCAGCTGTGCAGTACCAGCCATATGCACCCATCAGTACTCATGGCCTATTGCTTTCCTGGTGATTATTGAGCTGGCCAAACAGACTCTTAGGAGATGTGGGCGAGGGCGCTGCAGGCCCTGCGTGGTCATGGCTGGTAGATCCTACAGGAATCGGAGGCAGCTGCTCACACTTGTTTTCCAGAATAGGTTGCACAGAATAGGTTACCATTTATAAGTATGTTTTGTGTATCAAGAACACTAGGAGCCTTACATATAGTATTTCTTATCCATGAAGGCCTAAGATTTACCCCATTCTTTTCAGAGTCCCTGAGCAGTGCTTTGATTTGCTGCAGGCTCTTTACCAGTAGAAGGAGAGCTAGAGTTCAAACTCAAGGTCATTAACTATCAGAATACCCTCACTTTTCCAGGATACCTGCCGAACCCCAATTTGCACGGCTTTATCAGCATCCTAACATGACCAAGATTCTCCCTTGTGAATCCTTTCTCCCTCCTCAGGAGCTGACTCCTCTCATGAGGCTTGGATGTTTCCATAGCAGTCAGCCTGAGACCATTTCACAAACAAACATCTTAGTTTAAAGCCAAGAACAAACTGAAATTTAAAAGAAAAGAAAAGAAAAGGAACATACCCTGAGCCTTCAGAACTTAATGCAGAAAGTAAAGCAGAAAAGAAAAGAAAAGGAAAAACAGCATGAACAATCATCATCTAGTCTAAGTGAACTTTTCATGTCTGAAAACATTCAGTGACTGTGGACTCTGGGCCTGAAATAAAGATGGAGGTTTTGCATGAATCTGTATCATAATGTTGGAGGAGGTGCTATGGGTTGTACATCCTTTTTTTTTTTTTTTTTTGGTCTGAGCATGATTGGTGGAATGAAAGTTCATGGGAAATGACCTTGTCAGGAGACCAAGAGACTAGATCACAGAAAAGGTCAGGAACTGAATGGACCCCACAAAACCACAAACAGGAAGTTGTCTGTGATCTTTTTTGCACTTCTCCCTAACTGAGACCACTAGAGTATCATACAAAGTAACAGCAAATACAATCCCTTTCCAGCTTCTAGGTTAAATCAATTTTTTTCCTGCTGCCCACCACCTTCACCAAACATCCTAGGTTTGTGCCTCCCAGCTGTGAGGCTGACCCGACCCTAGAACTTCTGAGGGGGTTGGGGGGACTTAGTCACTTCTGCTTTTATCGATGGGAGTATAGGAAAGCTTGGTGTTGGGAAGTTGGGACAGCAGAATTTGTGCAGGAAGGCAATGATGTTGGAGTTCAAGGAATTGGAATGAAAATAGCAAAGGCTGGCGAGGTTGGTTTGGAGGAGCAGGAAGGTAATTAGGATGGACTCTCCTGGGATGCAAAAGGACCGGAGCTAAGATGACTTATCCTAATAGAAATCTCTCAATGACTGTTGGTAAGAGGCACTAATCTAGCAATTGCACATCATATGTTGATCAAAGCACCTTCTCTGGCATTTTTCATAGAATAACAATAAAATTTCATAGAAAGTATGAACGGTCTTGCTTGATTTACCTGATATTAGGAACTTCTTCTTCTACTACCAAGTCAGTAAGGAGAAAATGGTGCTTTGCGATGAGGAAGCGGTTCACCACAGACTCCCTAACCTGGGAAAAGAAATCGGCTTTGTTTAAAGCGTTTCTCTCACTTCAGCTTCAGAGTTTGCTCTCTTCAACTCTTCGTCTTTGCCCTAATTTCACCTCAGTGTGTCCACTGCCTCTCAGGCTGTTAACTTTCTCCACTGATCTGTTTTCTTCTTGCTGTGAATTCTCTAGTTGTCTCCACTAGACTGTAAGCTCCCTGAAGGCACAGTTGGGGTTTTTGTTTGTTTACTTTGTTGGTTTTTCTTGTTTAGGTCAGTGTTATATTTTCAGTAGCTGGAAATGTTCCTGGCACATAAGATGGCAAAAGTTCATGAGATGAAATTCATTTGAAATGACAAAAAAAAATCAGACCAGTTTCAAATAGACAATGCAGAACTGATTATTCATCCCTTCTATTCAGAACTTAAATAGAGGACTTGCTAGCAGCCAAAAGAGTAGGGAACTTCCCATGGTAGAATACTGGCTCTTTTCTCCCTGGGATGATGGTCTTAATGGGTTTTCTTACCTGCTGGAGGTACTTGGCTACCATAGCCCTATGGGTGTCGACGTGGTCTTTGGTTTCAATCACATTTCTGTCTCGTAACCGCTTCTCATAGTCCTAAAATCACAAGCGTATTATCATGATTTTAAAGTATGCTCTGATGCTCCTTTTTGGAATTAAGGAATAGTTCATCACATACAATTTAAACCATAAAATACGGTTCTAAGTGTTTCTTTCCCCTTCCTCTCAATTTTTGGCTTAGAATTGGCTTTATATGCAGTATCCAGGATTCTGACTCAGTTGGTTAAACTGCCTTAGTAGCAGAAGAGACTTCTGTACCATAGTTAAGAGTTAGCATATTCATGCAGGGAGGAACAGAGGGCCTGGGTGACACAGAGGAAGCAGTTATCATCCAAGGCTCTAAGCTCATCAAAGCCTCTGCTTACGTATTGCCTGACACATTTTAAGTAAAGCACTTCAGAGAATAGTAAAAAGCTCCAGATAAAATATTAATCATAATCAAACTATCTGCTGCTGACCTGGGCCAACTATATGGAGGAAGACAGGAGAGGTATCTGTTGGCTTTGTCAATTGAGGCCTCTCCCTTTTTCTGTCAGTACAATTGTGTGAGCCCCCTTCCATGTTCCCCTGTGTCCATGTTCACCTACAGCTGGGTGTCCAGTAGTGTCCTAGTTCAGTGACTCAGAGCTGTTTCTCAGGACTTTTGAACTTGGGACAGGAAAACACTTTTCTGATGGCCAAAGATGCCGGTGTAGACTTGGCTGGTCCTGGGGACCATGCTGCCCAGTACAGAAAACCCGTGTCCTCCTTGGCAAGGAAGTCAGCACACCGGAAGTCCAGATAGGATGGAGATGGACCAGACAGTGGAGCAGGTCCAGCATCTAGGGGGACATGAGGCAGAGGTGTGCCTGCTATTCCCAGGGGAGGGTATTTAGATATTTAAGCCTCTTCGGGGATTTCATTACCCAATAAACTCCTATTGGTGCCTGTGGTTGCTCAACATTTGGGGGTTTAATCCCATAGGATCACAAAGAGCCAAAACCAACTAACCAGAGATATTCTCCAGGACTAGTTTCGTCAAGAAAAATCATCATGGTATTCATGATGCTAGAGTGCTTTGCCAATGAACCTTAATGCATTAAAATGCAATTGAATTCCTAACTACAGCAGGAATAACTAGCCATAGTAATTGCCGAGATACTTATCAACCTTGCAATTCTAATTGGAGGTAATTCGACCAACGAACTCAGAATCCTGGTTACTGGTTAGTTTATATGTCATTATAATGAGACCTAGAGAGTGTTTACATGTCAAGTTCAAGAAAAGTAAGAGACAGGTAATATATAAAAGGGCTGACATATATCAAGATGTGCTGTATTCTTTAACTGCGTTGTTAAGTGGCAACTCCTGTGTATGACTACCAAAAGATTAATACTAATACTAATAAAGTACTCTAAAGAGAAACAAATACTGCTATGGAGAACAAGAACAGTCAAGTTATAATTGTGTGCCAGATGGCACAGCAGATACCTTCTTAGCCCTTTTAGGCAATTTCTTACCTGGAATATCTTTTCCATAATTTCTCGATCATATGCTGGAATTTGCTTGTAATTTCGGAATTCTGGTACTTCTTGGTTTCTAAGATGAAGAAGCCTGAATCTCTTGGATCTGTTTAATTCCTCATCTGAGATGAAATTAAATTCCTGTTGCAACTGTTCCAGTCGAAAGAAATCAGGGACATAGGATTCTCCACTGGTAGCAACCTACAAACAGAAAATGATCAGTTCTACCACAGACGAAAAGACAGTGTGGATAGGGATGGGAGAGAGAAAGGGAAGAGGTGACATTGTCCAAAAAGAAATGTAATCATTATTGGATGTAGGCCCTCTGTACACCACCTTTATAATAACAATAAAAATGTGATTTGCTACTTTACATGGAATATACTATACTTCAGGTAATATGGGCTCTCCTTCCTGATTTCTCTTCTTCACATTAAGAAGCAATGTGTTAGAAGAAGAGTTAGTAAAGACATAAGGATGACTAAAAGGAAGCTTGTTCTTAGGCTTAAAGAGACTAGGAGGAAATGAAAGAATGGAGAGTTTCATTGAGATTCCATTTGTCCCATCAATGGAATCATGCCCGTAGCCCTGATCACGAGAACCTATCCTGTGGCCCCCTTCTGTGGCACCTGCTTGCTTATTGTGGTTTTATACAAATTACAAAGTTGGCAGTAAAAGCCATTGTAGTTGGTTCTAAGAAATATAATGTGCTAACTCATGTCCCACTTTATTTATACATTCACTGAAAATGCGGCGAAAAAGAAAATGCAAGTAGAGGGTAGAGCCCTTTCAATGATCTCTCTGAGCTTCAAAATGGTCACCTTACCGAAATGAGTTGCATCAAAGGGGCATTGCTGGGGTCGTTAGGGTCAAGCTTGGACTCTGCTGCCCACTTGGCTAACTTCTTCATGTCTGTCAGTCCGGATGTGCCAATGGATGAGATGGCGTCCGCTCTCTTCAAAGCACTGGAAAACAAAACAAGACCCAAACTGAACAGCAACCAGCTGACCCCACAAGCCTAATTTTGCCACACAGCAGTTTATGTCAGGAACACAAAATCCTAGAGACAGAATTGAATACAGAACCCATTATTTCCACCAGAAGGAATCTTAATTTAGGGGCTACTTCATTTGAGGATTGTGAGGAAAGATGTTATAAGGCAATAAGGAACTATGACTGGAGGGCATACAACCGTGATCCCTGGAAGAGGTCTCCCAGTGCAGTAGTGTGCCTGTCCCGAGCCCTGGCTAGGAAAGAAGGCTGGTCAGTGTGGTCCAGCATGCCTGGATACCGCACGTCCTAAGTCACTCAGGCAGTGCACAGGAAATCACAAGTTGCCGGGGTATTCCGTAGGTCCCAGCTGCAGCTTTATCAAGTCTGGCACCTCCTGATAGTCATGCTCTGGTTCACCTCCTCTTGCAAGGCTGAAAGCATTAACTCCTGGGACCGCTCTTCAGCACGGAGGTGAAAATGAATGAAAAGTGTCCCTACTCGTGGCACGACCGGCCTCTGTGGGAAGTGGCTCCCGGCCTGGTGCAGAGATGAACAGCCTCACGCTTCCCTCACACAGAGGCAGGGGTTCGTATGGAGACGCAGAGGACACGAGAGGGACAGTACAGGTTCCTCTGCTGATTTCTCACACAGTGGAAATGACAACTCTACAGCCAAGGTGAATCCTTTTAGTTTAGAGACAGGTGATTCAGGCCTCAATGTCAGGTTGTGCATGGAGAAATGACAGAGGGACCAGGGTCCTGGGACTCCACAGGCTGCTTGGACCAGCATCGCCTAGGGCTTTCTGGACAGGTACTTTCTGGCCAGGGATGGCGTGAAGATAGACTTAGGGTGCTAGCAATCATGAAAGGAAGGACTTAAATGAAACCAGGAGGTTCTACACCAATCATTAGCAATGATAAATACACACAACCCGGTGCTGTGCACCCCCATCTACAAAATGGGGAAAAGAAGACCTCAGACCCTTTGTGATGCTTAAAATGCTTTTCATGTTGAGAATGAACTATACAACTTATGTGTGAGGATGGGAGGGAAGAACTGGACAAGAGGGAGGGAAGGGGTGACATTGTCCAAAGAGAAATGTCCTTGTTACCTGACTTATACAACTGTCACCTCAGTGTAAATCAACTTCATAATTACAATAAAGAAACAAAATAAATTTTAAAAATGCTTTTCACTGTATCGGGCATGGACAAATAGCTTTCATGCAAACACTGACATTAGTCATCAGTTAATTCTTGCCACCAATTACCTCCGACATCCAATGTTCTGATGCGACAGTGGAGGGATTAAAGGTATTCCATTCTCTCCGATGGCCCATGCCACACTGTGGGACACTTTCCCTGAGGTCATTAGAATCAGCTGATTGCTGCCATCAGCTTCAAAGGAGAAGGGCACTCCTAGGGAGACATCAACAGGGTATTTGTTTAAAAAGCAGGAGCCCAGGCCTAGTAATAATACAGAGCACAAATGGATGGAACTGAAATGGGGGGGGCGTAGCTCTGTTGCTGTGCAGCTGTATACAGCTGTGTGTGTGTGGCTTTGACAAGCTACTTGTCTGAGCCGTATTGTTTTACCTGCAAATATGGGAAACTGATAGCGCTGTCTTTGCAGACCTATCTCAAAGGTATTTATATTTGCTCATTCAGTCAACCTACTTAATTTGTGAGGCTTTGTCATAGGTAGTGAAGTAAGCACAATTTTAATAATAATGATTAAAACCAAGTTCTCCTCTGAGAGTGTTTGTACTTGAACGTGTGTAAAAGGTAAATACTAAGATAAGTACTTAGTGTGTTTGAGAGTGGCTAAGTGCTAAGGAGAATAGATTAGGAAAGGCAAGCAGGAAATTTGTACTCTGTGAGGATGGGGAAGGGGTCAAAATTTAACTCCAGTGGCCAAGAAAGTCTGACTAAAAGTGACTGAGGAAAAGCAGTGAGACATGGAGGAATGTTTGGAGAAAGCACTCCTGGCAGAAGGAGTGCGTGTAAGTGTCCTGAGGCGGCTGCCAGAGCCCAAGTTCAGTGAATTGATGTCTGCAGAGCACCTTGTGCTTGGCCAGTCAAGAGCACACAGCCACTGCCGGCCATCACAAGCTGTTATGACTACTATGAGCCCTTACTGTTTCCTTCTGCAAACTAGAAACTAATGATACAGACTCCCTGGGTGATAGGATTTAATCAGCTTTATGATTTCCAGATCATTTCTTCATATTGAAAGAGCGTCCTTTATCTTCATCTGCAAAATACCCTATAAACCAAATGTCAGTGGCTTGCTCCTGTCATCCTAGCAGAGATCCATGGAAGGCAGTGAGTAAGAACTGGACAGTCTGAACGCACAGGAAAGACCCCCTCCTACGTATGGTGGGACTCTTGTCCCAGTTATGTAAAGGCTGAATTTGGGAAGAATCATGGTCCTAGGCCAGGTCAGGAAGAAAGATGGTGAGACTCTTTCTCTTTCAACAGAGAGAAGCTGGGACATTGTGGCATGCACCTACCACCCTGGCTATGACAGTTAGTCTAAAATAGGCAGATGTGGTCCAGGCACATGCCTGGGTAGAAAGACCCTATCTCAAAATAACCAGTGGACCAAAGAGCTGCAAGCATAGCTCAATGGTAGAGAGCTTATTGACAAGCCCAAGGCCCTGAATTTAAACCCTAGTATGACCCCAATGAGTATGAATGCGGCAGAAAATGTTCAAGCATGGTACATAACCACTAAATTCACATAGCTTCTCAGTGTCACAACTAAGTTTGAGTCTCCACATTTTCAAACTGGTGACTGAATTTGGGCCTCAGTGAATTCTTGCAGATAACCTTGAGATATAAGCAAAAACAAAACAACAACTAACAAGCCAGATACTAGAGGCTCAGGCCTGTAATCTTAGGTACTCAGGAGGCTGAGATTTGAGGGTTACAGTTAGAATCCAGCCCATGTAGGAAAGTCTGTAAGATTCTAATCTCCAATAAAATACTCAGAAAAAGTGAAGCTGTGCATCAAGTGGTAGAGTGCTACCTTTGAGCAAATGAATCTCAGGGACAGCACCCAGGCCCTCAGTTCAAGCCTGGCACACATACAAAAAAAAATCCAAGAGAAAATCATTGTCAGAAATATTAAGGAAAAAGCCATCTTTGAATAAGAGGCAATGAGATCAAACTAATAAACAGATATTGGAATGATAAGGCCGAATAGTAAAAATATTTTAATATGTACAAATAAAGTTAGATGAATGAATGAAAAAGAAATCACTTATAATCTGAAAAAAGGAAAAAGGAAATCAGAACTGACCAGATAAAGAACTAAGTAGAATTTCTATAGTCAAAAAGTGTACTAACTGGAAGGACAAAATAATGATGAATTTCAATGATTAGGCACAGCTGAAGAATGAATTCATGACTTGAAAGACCAATTAAAAAAAAAGACCAGTTTAAAGAAATTAAATAGAATGTAGCAGTGAAAGAAAATGATATGCATTTTTTAAAAGTAAAGAAACATGTTAGAGTGAGGTCAATCATATATCTTCTTAGAATTGTAGGAGATGAGATTATAATTTCTCTATTATTACTATTAAAGTTAATATTCTATTAAGCCTTAAATCACTGTTATTTTTCATCCACAGAGCTTTATCTTGAGTTATAATTAATTTTTACAAAAGATTCCTAGATATGAAATTAATAAATCATAGGACAAATAACAGTTTACCAAAATGACTTAGTGAGCAAGGCACTGGTGGCTCATGCCTGTCATCCTAGCTACTTAGGAAGCTCAAATCTGAAGTTCTAGGTTCAAATTCAGCCCCAGTAAGAAAATTCATGAGACTCTTATCTCCAATTAACTACCAAAAGGCTGGAAGTGATAATGTGGGTAGAGCACTAACATAAGTACAAATGCTCAGAGACGGTACCCAAGCCCTGAGTTCAAGTCCTAGTACTGGCACAAAAGACTTAGCAAAAAAAATCATGTATTATCATTGTTTTCATTTGAATGAATTGTCTGAGAAGTGAAAGAAAAGCCACAATCCAATCTCCAGCCATGGAGGATGGTTAGCTTTGCATACCACTTCCAACTCCTTCATGGTCCAGGGTCACGTGCTGGTTACTGCTGAACTCCACTTCCTCCGTGGGAGCTCTTCCCGTCACAACAGTCGTCTCAGGAATAGGCAGAAACACCTCAGCTAGCAAGCTGGTACTACTGTATCCAACCGTTTCATAGACCTGAAACCCGGGGGAGAGAGCCAGCCAGTAAAAGAAAACAGAACAGAATGTGTGTACTCTTAGATAATCAATCCACATATTTGTGGGTTTGTGCTGGTCATTATCCTAGCCTAGAAGTCTCATTTCAGAGGAGAAAGCTGAGTTGCATTGCATGGTCCACGGAGAACAACTTATACCCTTGTTTGTAGACAAGTTTCTGACCCCCTGTTTCTTGCCCGGCTTACCTGCCTGGAGCAGGGAGGTTGTGTGTGAAATGGGGCTCCCGCTGTTTCTATTCCAAATCAACAATGCAAGCTAGAGAGTGGGCTTCTTTTTCCTGGTTCAAATTGTTCTCAGAGGAAATGTTTGAAACAAGGACACACCACTAGAGGCTCTCTTATTGTACCAGTATCTTCACTGGAAGCACTCCAGAGGGTCACATTTAAATCCACTTTGGGAATCTCTAAAATTGTATTGTAGGACTTTCTTTGTTAATGGCTGAAGTCCCACACACTTTGCCCTAGACCTTCTATGATGGAGCCATCTAGATCACTAGGGTTCAGATACTAATTACTCATGCCATCACCAGGAGGTGGTGATAAGAATATACAACCCAAAGCTGGGAGTCAGTGGTTCATGTTTATAATCCTAGCCACTAAGGAGGCTGGGATTTGAGAATCTTGGTTTGAAGCCAACCTGGGCAGAAAAGTCCATGAAACTCTGATCTCCAGTTAACTACCCCCAAAAGCCAGAAGTGGAGCTGTGGGTCAAGTGGTAAAGTGCTAGCCTTGAGCACAAAAGCTTAAGAAGAGTGACCTGAGTCAAAACCCCAGGACCAGAACAACAACAACAAAAGAATATACAATTCAGCTTCAGTTAGACTTTCTGTTTCATTTGGTCAAGTCTCTCCTGTATTCTTGGCTCACATTACTTTTGTGATATAACAACAAAATACTTCATGGTTCTAATGACTTATTTTCTGTATTTTATTCTTTTTTTTCTCCATGACATTTGAGTAACACTGATGAACTCTGATGCCTCAATTTCTACTTTTACTTCTATTAATTAATCTTTGCATTTTGTCTTTTGTAATAGGGCCTTCTTTGGATCGATGATTTTCTCTTTTACTTCAATGCACAAAGGTGACATTCTGAATCCTCTCTGCCTACCCTTCATTACAAGGCATGTGACCTGTGGCCTTTCCCACCGTGAGGATAAACTTGGGCCTGGCTACCATTCTGGCCTCATCTCTCTTAAATCCATTATCCCATGTTTGCAAGATAGCTAAGTGAGCTTGAAGGGACCAAAGTGGGCGGGGGTGAGGGTGGGGCAAAGTCAGAGGCAGAGTTTGCATAGGAACTGCACTCAGGACCTCAGACATAATGTCCCTGTGAAAGGCTGTATCTACCAAGAGGCAGGCTTGCCTGTGGTGCAGTGGTATGAGAGGAAGCCATAGTGGGACACTGATGTTCCTGTCCAAAATCATCTTTACCACTAAAAAGGGTGGTGATTTTTATCTATCTTAAAATATTCTTGGTAGATGTCAGATGTATATTACAATAATGTAATCATCATCATCATCATCATAATAATAATGAATATGAGGGTCCTGGTACCTAGCCTTAACTATCATGGACTCATGGCAAATCTCATTTCATCATACTCATTTCATACTCTCAACTATTCTCTTTTCCTCCAATACCTTGAACCTAGACATTATTTAATCTGTAACTATTAATCTGTGCATCTGTAAATGTGTCCTTAAAAAATTATTTTGCAGGTACTGGGGCTGAACTTAGGGCCTCATATTTTTACTTGGCTTTTTACCCAAGGCTGGCATTATACCACTTGAGCCACACTTCCAGTTTGGGCTTCTTCTGCTTAAGCAAAGATAAGAGTCTCACAGACTTTTCTGCCCAGGCTGGCTTTGAACTGCAATCCTTAGATCTCAGTCTCCTGAGTATCTAGGATTATAAGCGTAAGTTACTGGAGTCTGGCAATAAAAGGCATTTCTAAAGGCAGAGACTAACCTTTTCTTCTTGAAAATTTATTGTGATGTCTCCGTAGCCAAGAGATGGTTTAAAACCATCTCAAACCTTTAGAGATTACAAAATTCTTGGGATCGTGACTATAATGAAAATGCACACCTGAAGTGTTAAACTCTCTGGCCAGTTGAATATTTGCAAGTTGAAAATCTGTCCAAAGTGAACTCGGAAGTCTGGTCCTAGTTGCCGGCTCACCGTCCTGGATACCTCCTTGCTGTTGAAGAGGACTTTTAAATACACCGAGCGCCTCTTAACATCATCCCTTCGTAAGACCTCCACCCTGCAGGTGAGACCATTTGCAGCTGTCATTAGCATTCATTTCATAAATATCACTGAAATCATTGACAAATGCATAATGAACATTATAAGAGACACTGGAGGTAACTCTCTATTTAACAGCCCCTATTTTAACCAAAATAGCCACAGCTTTCCTAGAACTTAGTATAGTAAAAGATATAACATAAGCTGGGTGCTGGTGGCTCATGCCTCTAATCCTAGCTACTCAGGAGGCTGAGATCTGAGGATTGTGGTTCAAAGCCAGCCTGGGCAGAAAAGTTTGTCAGACTTATCTCCAATAAGCTACTCACAAAAAGCTGTTAGTGGCACGGTGGCTCAAGTGGTAGAGTACTAGCCTTGAATGCAAAGAAGCTCAGAGACAGCACCATGGCCCTGAGTTCAAGCCCCAGGACCAGCAAAAAAAAAAAAAGAAGTGTAACATAAAGCCTACAGAGAAGTCACTGGCAGACAATGGAAAGGGGTATGCTGCTGGAAATAACATTGTACTGGTGTCTCAATTTTCTCAAACAAGCCTTACATTTGCATCCCAAACAAAACATTAAGGAAATTCTCTCTCTCTCTCTCTCTTTCTGTTAGTCATAGGGCTTGAACTTAGAGCCTGGGCACTGTCCTAGAGCTCTTTTGCTCAAGGCTAGTGCTCTAGTATTTTGAGCCACAGGTCCACCTCCAGTTTTCTGGTGGTTAATTGGAGAAAAGAGTCTCACAGACTTTCCTGCCCCTGCTGGCTTTGAACCATGATCCTCCGATCTCAGCCTCCTGAGCATCTAGGATTACAAATGTGAGCCACTATGCATCTCTTGTTAAATGGAATGAATTCAAATCATAAGTGATAGTAATGATTTATACTTTGTTAATAAATTCTATTATAAAAATGTTAATAGCCTATTTGATAGCAAGTCTGTTTGTTGGATGGACTCATTATCAAGTTTGATCAAGTCTTTCTGTAAGATTCTTTTGCTCATACTGTGTAGTGCAAGATAAATAGCATCATATTCAATGTGTTTGTGTATGTACTGGTGTACATATGCACTCATGAGTGTGCAAACCTTGCTCACCTGGGACACTGGTCATTGGGCGTCACACTCCCTGCCAGACTCAGCTCTGGGACCAGCATGGGCTCCCCTGGCCGCCTCCTGCTGTGGGCTGCTCGCTCCCTCACCCGCTGCTCGATGGCTGCTGGGTCGGTGGGCTCTGGAGGGATGGGCTTCACAGGGCCTTCCTCAGCAGGGAGCTCCTCAGTCTCTTCATCCAGATCCTCTTCTGCTGCTTGCTTCTTCTTCTTCTTCTTGGCCCTCTATTGGATAAGAGACCACATGATGTCAAGTAGGAGCCTGAGAATTTCACACAGGTGTGCAGTGATTCATGCTAGATACACCTGGGTGCAAACCCAGTCCATCTCTCCCAGCTGGTCCCTGAAGGGCCTCAGTTTTTTCACCACCAAGTGGAGACAAGCAGAAGAGAGTCCTTCCAGGGCTACCAAAATGAAGAAACCCCTGTAAAAGTACTTATCAGAAGCATCCATCACCCTACATTCAAGGTGCTAATACATGCTAACTACTTAGTACTACTACTTGACATGAATATCAGCAATTATTATTACCCATACAGAGCCCTACCACTGGACTCTCTACAAAGCCAGCTCTGCTGTGAGACAGCAGAATGGCCTTTGAACAAATGCTTTTGTCAGTCAGTTTCCCCCTGCCCTTCCAGGGAGAGGGCAGGAAGAGAGACAGCACGGATCAAGCAGTGGATGCCTGTCTGCCAGTTCAGCTTCTTTTCTCCTGTCTCAGGGCCTGCTTTCCCATACCCACCCCCGCCAGCCTTGTTCCAGGTTAAGCAATGGTCTCTACACACTTGGGCTTTCTTCCAAGCTTTCCATTGCTGATGGGAAGTTCTATACTCTTCCATCTTCTGTTCATATGCTTCTGTGTGTTCCTCCAACAATTCTCTTATTTCAGCTTGAATTTCTGCTTCATATACTTCCTCATCTGCTTTCTTGTCAACTTTTTCCCTGAAAATCAATTTAGGGTACCTTGGTTATGCCTGGACATCAAGTAAGAATGTAATAATCCTTAGGTGCCAGGTTTGCTTCTAAAAATGCTGTATTAGTTACTTTTCTTGGAAGGTAGAGTATGCTGGAGAATAGAACCCAACACCTTGTGCACACAAGATCAATTCCAAATGATGAATGATTAATGATGAAATATGACATGAAAAAAATGTAAGGATTGTAGGAGATAATATAGAATAATATATATTATATATTGGTTATATACAATATATATTAATTATATAGTATGTAGTATAGAATAACATATAATATATAAAATATAATATAGAATATCTACATGACTCAAGGGGTGGATTTCTTTTTTGTTGTTGGCGGTGTTGGTTGTGGGGCTTGAACTCTGGGCCTGAGCGTTGTTCCTGAGCTCTTCAGCTCAGGGAGCCACAGCACCATTTTTGGTTTTCTGGTGGTTAATTGGAGCTAAGAGTCTCACAGACTTTCCTGCCTTGGCTGGCTTTGAACTGTGATCCTCAGATCTCAGCTTCTTGAGTAGCTAGGATTACAGATATGAGCCACTGGTACCCGGCCAGGGGGGTGGATTTCATAAGCAGCGTATAAAAAACACCAATCATAAATAACTAATATATTTTATCTACTTAAAATTAAGACTTTCTATTAAAGACATCAGGGGAAAGGAGAGAGACATACAGAGAAAGAAAAACAGAGACAGAGAGACAGAAAGAGATATATACCTATAGGATAGCCCATCAACAAACTCTCATATCCAGTATATGAGATCTATTTATATGCAGAACTCATTCAAGTTATGGAAAAAAGCTTTAAAAAAAGACACAAGCCAGTTCAAAAAAATTGACATTAGTCTTGAACAAGCACCTCACAAAAGGACACACCCAGATAGCCAAATCATGTGTTTAAAAAAGGCCCACCTTGGTGAGAGAGAAGAACTAAGGGAGAGCGAGGGAAGGGGTTGCACTGTCCAAAAAGAAATGCACGCTTTACCTGATGTGGGCACCGTAACTCCTCTGTACGTTATCTTTAGAGTAACAATAATTTTTGAAAGGCAATGAGGGAACTATTGAACATGCCAGCGGCTTGGCAAAATGTGAATGATTAGCCCATCAGGTGGAAGGAATGACCTTGGAGCGTAGGCAGCAAGAACACTGGCAAAGGTAGGAAGAGGCATTGCCACTCATCTGGGTACATTTTTGGGAAATTTGGGCATATATACCTAAAACACAAGGCTGAAAATATCTATAGAAATGACATCTATGACAGAAAAATGGAATCAACTCAAAGGCCCATCACCTCTGATATATATATCAGATATATATATATATATATTCATATAATGATGTTTTATAAAAAGAAAGAAACAAAGAGAAAAAGAGAGAAAGAAAGAAAAAAAAGAAAGAAAGGAAGAAAGAACACAAGGGCTGGGCATGGTGATATATGCATGTAATCTCAGTTACTCAAGAGGCAGACATCAAGAGGATCACAGTCACAGGACAAAAGCAGTCCAGGCAAAAGCAAGAGACCCTATCTGCAAAACAAACTGAAAATGAGCAAAGCAAACTAATAAACAAAGGGCTGTAACTTAAGAGATAGAGACATCAAGTTCCATCCCTAGTACCACCAACAAAATACAAACAACTTTCTTTCTGTGCTGAGAGTTGAACCAAGGACCTCTACCACTATCCATCAAAAATCTGAGGCTGGGTCTGAGGGTACAGCTCAGCAGCAGAGCTCCTACAAGGCCCTGGGTTCCATCCCCAGCATGGCAAAAAATATGAGGTGCCTGCAGCCAGCAAGGACCCTAAATTCCCACAACTGAGGGGTGACTACCACCTTCCCTCACTGCCCCGATCAGCACTAACAACAACAAAAAGCCAACCACAGCTAGGTGCACTTTATAGTACTGAAGAAAAGAAACAAGTATGCATTTACTATAGAATACACACAAGATAGTCCACTACTGTGAAAGGCAAAGGCAATATTACACTAATTCTCAGGCATAGACACTAGTGGTGAAGAATAAAATAGGAAAACAATGGTCACAGAAGTGCTACTTCTAGGAGAAAGGGGCTGTGAAAGAGACACAGGGCTGCCCAGGGGCCTACAGTGTGTGTGCGTGTGTGTGCATGCATGTGTGTGCATGCACGTGTGTGTGTGCATGTGTGTGCGCACATGTGTGTGTATGCATGTGCGTGCGTGCATGTGTGTGTGCATGTGTGCGTGTGTGCGTATGTATGTGTGTGTGCATGTGTGTGCATGCATGTGTCTGCGTGTGCGTGTGTGCATGTGTGTGTGCGCACAGGTCCTGGGGCTTGAACTTTAGATGTCAGGCTCTCACTTGGCTTTTTCACTCAAGGTTGGCACTCTATCACTTCTGGCTGTTTGCCGGTTAATTGGATGTAAGAGTCTTTTGGATTTGTCTGCCAAGGCTGGCTTAAAACCGAGATTTTCAGCTCTCAGCCTCATTATCACAGCTAGGATCACAGGTGTGAGCCATTGGCACTTGGTTAAGTTGTCACTTTTTTTTTTGTGATCAGTTGTGGGGCTTGAACTCTGGGTTTGGGCACTGTCCCTGCCCTCTTCAGCTCAAGGCAAGTGCTCTACTGCTTGAGCCGCAGCACCACTTCTAGTTTTCTAGTGGTTTATTGGAGATAAGAATCTCATGGACTTTCCTGCCTTGGCTGGCTTTGAACCATGATCCTCAGATCTCAGCCTCCTGAGTAACTAGGATTACAGGAATGAGCCACAGGTGCTTGGCCTCAGTCTTTAAAAACTAATTATGTCTTATACATTTTTCAGGGTATGATATGAATTAATATAAGAAGATTTCTAACAGAAAAAGCCTACTTTTTCAAAACAAGTTTCAGGGGTGTATTCGTAAACCTCTGGAATTCTCGAAGGGATTTCATCTCTTTCCACACTTTTATGATGGTCTTCAGCAGTGTTCGATCTCTTTCTTGCTCAGCATCACGCAGTTTTCTTGTTTGTCTACAAGAGAGCAACATGTTAGTGCATATTAAAAAGTTATCTAGGTGGGTTTGTAAATGAAAAGCCACTCATAATGCTTCAAGTAGACATTAGATATATAACATGATTATGTATGGTAAACTATTATGCAGAAGCCAATGAAAATTCAAAGAAAATAGGAGGCCATTCTGGGTTTGAGAGATTTACTTGATTTTGTTCTTTCTAGGTGAATATGACCTCCATGAAACTAAATTATCTTCAAAAATTCTTATTTTTGGTAACTCACTCTTGTAATCCTTGCTGCTCAGGAGATTGATATCTGAGCATCACAAGTTTGAAGCCAGCTCTGGCAGGAGAGCCCATGATAGCCTTATCTCCAGTTAACTACCAAAAAAATGTGGAAATGGAGATGTGGCTCAAGTGGTAGAGCACCAGCCTTGAGCAAGTAAGCCAAGCAAAAATATGAGGCCTGAGTTTAAGCCTCAGTCCTGGTGTGTGTGTGTGTTTGTGTGTGTGTTTGTGTGTGTGTGTGTGTGTGCATGCACACACAGCCTCATTTATACACAGCCTCCTTTATAATTATGAAAATAATTGGGCTAGGAATGTGGCTTAGTGGTAGAATGCTTGCCTAAGTATGTATGAGGCCCATTCCTTGGTACCATATAAACAAAAAAATAAATAAAATTAATTTAAATAAAAAGAAAGTAAGCAAGCCAATAAACACAGTTCTCATAGCTTAAACTATTGAAATCACTGCAGAGACTACTGCTGTCTTAGTCATCCACCAAACACTGAAGTCTGTGTTAACACAAATCACGAGCTCTGCAGAGGCCAGATGATGTAATGCTATTACACGCCTTAGAGAGTTTCGCTGTTAATGAGAAAGCCAACACTTTCAGCATCACTCAAAGAGGCAGCATTTGAAAATGCTTTTGTCTCTTCATTTCTACTGTTTAAGGTGTTTGAGAATTATTTAGTACTTTACTTTTAGCCCTCTTTAGAATAAATAGCCAATTCCAGACGCTACATGTACTCTATTATGCCACGAACTGGCTATTGAATGAATGAGACAATTATTTAGGTTTTGGACAGGTGCCATGTGTCATTCCAGGGCACACAGAAGTGTCTGTTGCCAGGGGGTTTATAACGTAGCTCAGGATACAGACTCACATATAAATGATGATAACATACAATGTAGTTTTTGCCTAAGAGCATGCTGTGGGAGGCTGGGGAGTGAGCATTGTAGAAACCAGCACCTCCAGACCGCAGGACGGCCTGGTGCCAGAGGCCCCATGGGGTGGGGGTGGGCTAGCTGAGGCTGTAGAGAGGGTACAGTGAAGGAAGGCGGTCTAGGTTTCTAATGGTTCAACTGGTGGCAGAGAAAAAGGAAGATGGCAAAAGATGATGGTCAGCAAGTAGTTGGGTAGTCAAGAGTCAGGACTCTCTGAAGTCTTTAGAAAAGTAAGAGATTGAGACACATTGTCCTTAAAAGTAGTCAAGCCCAGTGATTAGGGGTGCAGTTGTTGAACTAGCCCACCCGCTAGCTGGCCCTAGAAAAGCTACTTCATTTCTTCCTGCTAGCTGAGGTGGGAAAATACATTAATACATGGGGTGCACCTAGCCTAACATCAGGGTACAGGGCTGCTATCCTGCATCGGCTACCTCCCTTGTCTTGTTTTTTTTTTTTTTTTTTTAACTGCAGTATAATGAAAAACGAAACCAAGGACAAATACAGCCGGATACTTGATAAAGAAAGTAGGAAATGTGAAACAAGTCTGGGGGAAGAGGCGGATGGGATGAAAGAGAATGGGGGCAGGGGAGGCCCTGATTAAGAAGCTTTGGACGCTTAGACGTGTAAACATGTAGCCCCCTTGAACCTTCTGAAGTGCAAAGAGAAAATAAATAAAGCTGGGTGCCCATGGCTCACGCCTGTAATCCTATCTACTCAGGAGGCTGAGATCTAAAGATCGCAGTTGGAAACCAGCCAGGGTAGAAAGGTCCCTGTGAGAATCTTACCTCAAAATCCAGTCATGGAGCAGTGGCTGAAAGTAAAAGAGTGTTAACCTTGAGCAAAAATGCTGAGGGGCAGTGGCCAGGCCTGAGTTCAAGCCTCACCACCACCACCACCACTACCACCAATGAAAGAGAAACGAATAAAATAATAAAGTACTTGAAAATAGGCCCTAGTGGCTCACTCCTCCTAGTCTCTCAGGAGGCTGGGATCAGAGAATCGTGGTTTAAAACCAGCCTGGGCAAGAAAGCCCATAAGACTCTTAACTCCAATAAACAGCAATGACAAAACAGCAACAGCAACGAAAGTGGAAAGTAGAGCTGTGGCTCAGGTGGTAGAGCACCAGCCCTGAGTGAAAGAAAGCTAAGGGACAGTGCCTGGGCACCGAGTTCAGGCCTCAGTACTGGCACTAAAACAAAAATCAAAACAGGAGAAAAACTTGAGTAGCTGGTTAGAACAATACCAACCTGCCATATAAAATGATGTCACTGAGAACATAGAAAATAACAACCTGCAATGTAAAATCACTTTACTGAGAACATAGCACAGTCAGGATTTTGATACAAATTTTAACTATTTCAAAAATAGATTTCTCTACCTCCTTTTAAAAATTATCATAAAAATAAAATGTATTCTTTTACCTTCATTAATTTCCACTTTGGAAAAGAATTTCCAACTCATGTTTAGATTATAAGAAAAAAAACTATACACTAAAACTCTTGATTATTTTCTGTTCTAAGGACTTACTCTGTGGCAATACTTACACAGAAATACATAGATGCAGGAATTATAATTATAACACAATTTAAATAATATAGTAACTAGCAGTCTACTTGAGAGTGTACAGCTATGATAAAGCTATATGATAAATGATAGGGTGGGAAATATTGGCCTGGCTCACAGGCCATATAAGGCCTGACACTTGGCACCTGATTGGACAAAAATATATTTTTCTCATATGCCTCTGGTGTGTTTCTCATCTGCTGCCCTCAGCCACCGCCTAACCTGATGATTTGTGTGGTCTGTGGATGATCTTATAAATATCTAAATGGCACACGGAAGAAAAAAAATTCCACATCCTGGCTAGACTCAGACATATTCTAAGAGGAAAAAAGTCTAAGATGCTTTCTACATAAAAAAGCAAGTTGCAGAATGGTATATACAACATGATTCCTTAAAATTATAAAATGGTTGTACACGAGCACATCTATGTGAGTGTGTAAGTCTGTGTGTGTGTACACACAGTCTATAACTAGAAAAAATATAAACAGGGCTTTCTATTAAGGAGGGTACTTTACATAATTCTAACATTTTATATATGACTAATAATCAGAGTTTTAATTTTTGAATTTTTAAGTTATAAATAATTCAAAGAGACAGGAAAGTAAAGATAATATGTTGACACCTGGTAGTTTGGCTTGTTTTCTTGAGGTTTAAAAAAAAATAAAGTGTTAGAATTACATTTGAAGATTTCTTCCATTCTACAATAGAACCTGGCATGTACTTTTTCTGTCTTTCCACGCCATACCTCTGTGTCCCAGAACAAGTAAGAGCTGTCTGAGGTGTTCTTCAGGATTTGTAATCAAATCGTAGAATGAGAAGGATGTGGCACCTGGATAGTCTTCTCTTCTCTTCTCTTCTCTTCTCTTCTCTTCTCTTCTCTTCTCTTCTCTTCTCTTCTCTTCTCTTCTCTTCTCTTCTCTTCTCTTCTCTTCT